AAAGGGTCATAGACTAGCACCCGAAGCATCTACCTTTATGTTAGCCCATTATCAGTACTGTGAAGTCCGAAGAACTTACAAGTCCATTATCCTGTCTCACCAGCATTTGTAGTAAGTCCCGTGCACTTTCCCAGTCACCAACTCTTTCTAGCTGCCAGACAAGAGATATCCTTTGAGTACGAACCTCTGCTTTCTCATGGCCATCTAAAAGCTCTTTAATATAAGGTAGCTGTGATGCTATTCCTATCCCTGTGGCGATCATGAATATACACCCATATTCACCTATTGTATCATTCGAGTTGATAGAAGCGGGTCCAAATGGTCCATCAATCCAGGCTGAGTACTCGATATTGGGGTCTAGTCGTTTAAGAATCCTTCTAGTAAATCCGGATTGTGGACGAAGTAAAATCGAAATAGAGACTGCCCGGCCATTCGTATCATTCTCCCACCAACTTATCGTGAAGGGGTGTGATTGGAAAAGATAAAACAACCCCACAAACGGAACACCTAAACTGACACGCTGGCCAGCCTGTACAGCCCATGGCCTAGGTAATAAGAGGGTTATTCGAGCAACATCACCAACATAGGGTTCAAGATTTAGTCGCACAACACCTTTCCCAATAACGATATTTCTATATATTATTCGGAGGACTTGTAAAGTCTCGGATAATATAAATATACAGACATATATTAAAGAAAATACCCAGAGATTTTCTTCAGCTGACTGGGTGTGCTGCCATACTGTATAGATTATAGTAATAGCGCATCCGAAATGAGTCAAAAGGAATAGTTCGTAGACCCGTTTCTTAATGAAGGGCAAAATTGTAAGAGCCAAGAACATGCATGCGGTCTGTCTGAATGTTAGTTTATTTAAAGTGCTAAAGCCTTATTTGGAACTTTCAACTGGGTAAACATACCAAAAGTCCATTAAACTCAATCTTGTTAGACCATGTTATTGAACCACTCTGGGTGATTATTACAATATGGGCTATAGCTTCTAGAAGAGCTATTGATGCAAACAGACGATGAATGAATCCGTAAGAAGAAAGTGTGATACCTAGAAGCCGGGCGCCAAGTTCATAGCCTCCACCCAAAAATAATGGGATGAGGTTAATCAGTGACAGCTTTGCGGCCCGCTTTCCGCCAGCTTGAACAGAATCTATCTGGATAAAGTTACAGATCACAGTACCAGTGATATATAGTATAGTCAAAATAAAATGTGATCTAGATATAGATCGTAGCCTGAGAAACCGGTAATAGAACCTAGCATAAATCACATGGCGTAAAATATAGGGGCGAACAAGCGGATATAGTGAAGACCTGATATATCGGATAAGATGGTAAAGAAGGGAGATAAGATATAGTATAGCAAGGATATAGCTATAAACAATATCTGGGGTTGTTAGATATTGAAGTATTTTCATTTTTAGGCCTTCAGGAGATGAGGTCCAAGGATCGCAAAAATGATATGCCTTAGGTATTAGGAGTAGGTCAGGAAAATGGGGAGTACCTAAATATAAGAAATTATATGATCCATTTATAGTGTCGCAGAGAACTTAGAAGCCAATGTTATGATTCGTTGAATCATGAATCATGATCTTTGCGACACCGAAAAGGATACAGCAATATTTGGTTCTGTTTGATAGTATGGATTTCTTTAAACATATGATTTAGTTAGGATAGGGGAGGAAGAAAGACCTCAGAAGATCGTGAGATGAGGCGTAACCTGGCTATTAGAAGGTTTGCAGAACTTAGAATTTGGAACTAGGTCCTAGGAACCTGCAAGTCTGGATAGGCACGTGTGACGTGATTTACTACTAGTTACCAAAATAATAAGGCCGAAAAGAATAGACTTAAGTAACAAAATGCACATGGAAAAATGTACGTTCGTGATTCCATATGATGCTACTTAAGAAATTCTTAGTTCAGCCCATTTGACCTACTACTATATATTGACTTTATTGAATGCGTCTCCCTCGGACTCCCATCATCATGATCATCATCAATTCAATTCAATCATCGATTCATTCTCCTCGCTCTCCACAGAACAGAAATCGAAGACCAAAGCTCGCAGGCGGCAGAACCATCTAGCCAACTTCTCCTACAAACACGTCCTCGCCAAGAACCTGTTGCGCGTTATCAAATTCCACATTCCATAGAGTCGTGGTTTCCCCTAGTACATCAGCAGCAGTACAGTATACTACAACGGTCGGAGCGGAAGTAAATATTAGCTGGATTGCAATCCCGGGGGCCGGGGTGTAAAGGTTGGAAGGCTAGGCAAGAAGTGATAGTCAATTTTATTCCAAGACTAATTCTTGATCCTCTCATCTATGAATTAGTCTACCCTTTTATAATCGAATCTAGGAAGAATCGATATTGTAAATATATCTTAAGAATGAAATCACCTTTCATCATAATCCTTTCAGGATTACATTCTTTTGCCTCTGAATTATCATTCCGTCGGAGTGGCAATGGAATGATATATTCTGACAAAAGATGGGTAACTGATTCACCATCGTTACGTATCTTGTAGAATTCCGATTCTACTTCCATTCTGTTTCACTTTCACAGGATGCATTGATAGCTGCATCGAGACGAAGTCATTATGTTTGTCTGGTTTGTTGGGTTTGCCTTGTTTGGAGCTCAACCTGAGCTTTCAGGTATCGATTCGATACCGTTTGGCTTTGCCCTAACACGGGGCTGACCTGAAAACCGGTAAGTATAATTGATATTTTCTTTCATAGATTCGTACTTACCCATTTCCGGTCAGTCAGATTCCGATTACAATAGTAAATGAATCCTTTTGCTTGGTCTTCCTATAAAACAGGAGTATTCAATATTGCTTTTTCCCAGTCCTGTTCTAAGTAGCTGATCTTGCCATGTGTAATGTAAAGTGGACATACAGCTTACGGGGTTGTGAATTTCCACAAGTACTCGAAATCAATTGAATTCCAGAAGCCTGAACCCTCAGGCTTCCATGCATGACCGCTGCGCCGCCGCCAACTACTTAAGGTTAATCCTTCTCTTCTCTTTCTCCCTTTCTTTTTTTCTTTCCTGTCTATGTTTTTCTTATGTTGTCTGGACCGTCGTATCCTTCAATTGATTAATATTTATTTACCGTGTTACATATATGACAGATGAAATGGCTTTAGCAAGGTAAGAATAGTTCTTCTAATCTGATTTTAAATTTACAAGTTAAATGTTAACGTATTAAGGCATGGACTGCCCCACAAAGGGCACCCATCTGAGAAGTACTCTTTAAATTGGGAAATGGAGCAAGCCGGAAGTGGATGGCTTAGTATAGGGAACTATTATGGGTTCTCACTTGCATTAATCAAGAAAGTGCAAATCGCTAAGCCTCAAGGTGAATTCCAGATGCTTCAACGTGCTGCCCATGAAAACATCGTGGGCTTGATAGAGGCTTTCTATGACGATCAAAATCTTTACCTCGCATATAACTACCATGGATTTGCTGTCCACCTTTCACAGGTTCTTACAACACCCACCATTACTCTTAATGAGCCCGAGCTTGCTAGCATCTGCAAGAATATCCTCAAAGGTCTCGAATATATCCATGAAGAACTACGAATCTTTTACGGTACCGTTGATTGCCAAAATGTCATATTATGCCCAGATGGTGTGATAAAGCTAGGTAAGGGTATAAAATCAACAGGTCGTTTCTCAAGTATATCCAACTTATATAACTACTACTTATATAGCCAATGTGGGGAGCGCCATGGTTGCATACGGACTTTCTCAAGACAGCATGCAATCAGATTGTGAAAGTGTTGGGGCCTTACTAGCTCATTGTCTTACTCCTACGAAAAGGAGCAGTGGCAGTCAATGTTTTGAACCATGCATGTCAATATATGCTGCGCACTTTATCAAAAACGTAGGATCGACTCCTTATTCTTGTCTATACGAAGTATGTTGAGATCCTTGATGTTCCTGGTTTCTGTTTTACCTAGGTACTAATATATCTTAGCATGCCTTCTTCCAACAAGCAAGTCCTGATGACCGAACTTGGTACTTGATTCCCCACTATCTTGAGACAATGATGTACTGGAGAGGTTTCGCATAATCCATAATTATAGTACAGTTTGTCACTTATTGTTTGGAGTTGGAAATAGAGATAATAGATTACTGAGAAAGTCTCAATTACTGACCCTCCATAGTTCCGCAGACTACCTAGAGCAGCGTGTTTAAATAATAATAAGCTCTCTGCTAGCTAGTGACTTCCCCATAACATTGAAGTTGATTGCAGGGTTAAAGTACACAGGTGATATAAAATTGAACTTCCTGAATCTCAAAGTCTGGCTCTGGACTTAAGACGGATTTCCGTGGTGAGAGACAACCCAGTCGTGTTCTTGCTTTAGCTTCCTTAACTTGATAAATTTGTATATTAGGAACAAAACAAAAGAAGCGGTCATAGAGCAACTAGACGCAATCACAGTTAAGAGAGCCATGATTGACCAGTCTCCACTATGGCCGGTATATAGACTAATAAGAGTGGTTATGAGACCTGCAAACCCATTTAAAAGAGTCGGCCTGTTAATATTAGTCACTGTCCTTTTATTTCTTGGGGGAAGTTATACAACGAACATAAAGACACGATTGACCAGCCAAATATAATTTGACTGATGCTCCCAATATAACCAGCCAATGATCAATAACCCGATTATGAAGAAGAAGGCGGCCAAGGCTAGGAGAGGGGGGTTTTTTATGGTTCTTAAAAGGAAGTCACCCGTCTTATTCCCCTCTAGGGTACTATCAACCGTACTAGAAGCCTGCAGGGACGTAAATGTACCAGGAACTACCAGGTATCCTGCGAGAAGAACCCAGTGGGCTGCACTGGCTAGAATGTTGTACTCCCATGGAACCCTATCTGCCTCGACCATCATTCGTACATAGCGAGTCTCAAGGGATTCATAAGAAAGCATGTCATCACCTCTAGATAATTCGGTTGTCATTTCTTTGAGCTAAGGATAATTCAAAACCTTTCAAGTCTGGATAGGAGTCAGAACTAATGGAAGAAGAATAGATGACATATATGCTAGAAGATAGGTATTTAATTATAGATACATATAAATGCATAGTTGCGACATATAATCTGAATCCCCAGCATCAATTGATTGATGGTTTTATAGGCAGAAATCCTAGTGCATACCAAGATCATGCTCCGCACTAGACTCCATCAGATCACCCTTCGGGGTGATATTATCATCTAGACCTATACGGGTGATACCCCGGTAGACATCGTCCAATGAACTCAGCACTCTCCGCCTGGCAGCGAAATAATGAGTCAGCCGTTTAAATCTAACCCCTGGGGATCCTGGTGACTTCATTTTTTCAGTCAAACTCTTGCGGGCCACATCTGGATAGTGTGCTTCCTGTAAATTTGTCAACATAAATCGACCCGCCGTATCAGCCATACTAACCAGAGCACCATCTGGTGGGGGCCAAGAGCCATCACCAACAGAGTTGTATACAAAGGAGCCTCGATCGTGGTTGATAAAAACATAAACATTTGCGTCGCAAATGGCAGCAAGCTGGTTAGCTTTTGCGATTAAGGTTTTGTATCGCTTGACAAATCGATTTCGAGAATTTCTGTCTTTATCTGGGCCACCCATGCTTTTAAGTATATGGTAAAAACTGATTTTAAAAGCATCAATTGATCAGCGAATGCATGTGGGGAGTTCAGCTTGAAGTTATATGAACTGGTATGAGGCAGCAATATATACATTTCAAAAATATTAATTTATGTAACAATGAATTCATCCAGAGGCAATCTTGATCACACCAGTAGTTTTTTTTCTAAATCCAACACCAGCCGAGGATTCTGATTCGCGCCTGCGCCTTTTTCCCCTCGGAGGATTTCCAGAAGTGGCGTCACAGTTATGACATGCCTGTCGACAAGGGTGCCCATGATCGCTTCGGCCAAATGGTGAACCAAGACCTTGTTTTGAAGCGAACCTCGCCATAGTCTCTGGAAACCCACCAATTCTCCATCGCATTTTAGAAGGACCCTCTATATAGATATTCACAATATGGTTTAGGTGACAGGTTAGGAATGATATAGACTGACTAAATCGTCCGCAAACAGCACAGATACTATCAAGACCCCCAAAACCATCGATAAGCCCGCCATCCGAGACAAATGATAGCCCTTCAGGGTAAAGATCTCCCAATGCCTTAACTACTTTTTGACCTGGTCCTTTACAGTATACTGAGCCATGGCACCAAAATGGTGTTGCAGTATTCTCGGGTAATAAGTCAACAGAAAAGAAAAATTGGGAGGCTAAAAGCAAAGTAGCAGCTTCTCGGGCCTTCCGTGCACTTCCGACTTGAAGGATAACAAGATTTCGATAGTCCTCCATTATCTCGATAGCATCAATGGTGTGAGGCCAACTCCCAAGCGGGACATCTAGCCGGTAGCTATCCCCACGAGTTGAATTTGTTAGACGAGCTCTCCATTTCCGCCAATCACTATCTGTGTCCATAGTAGACATCCACGCGTCGAAACCCCGACGTAAAAAGCTATCGCGGAAGATATGACGAAAATGGCGGGTCTGATCACTTGACTCGGTTTTTCCAGTCCCTAAAGAGACTAATCGTGTTGAGCCCATTACCCCTGGCCATATCTGCTGTGCTAGCTGGGTTGCAATTTCCCCAGCAAAATTATATTTTAATCCACCATCCTGAAAAGAGCCAATACCTTGTAAATCAATTGGGGTAAAAAAGCTATCACTAGTTAGCGCCACCTAGGCAAGGCTAATGCATATATATCACATACAAGGGTGCTGCTGCTGTGGCCCTTCCACTAGTCTTCTTTTAGTATTGTTTCCAGGGGGATCATTAGGATTACTAATATAATCCAAAAATAAGAGAAAAAAAACTCACGCTTTCCATATGGTTGGCTCATTATCTGGATTATCTGGACGAATTATCTGGTAATCTAAAAATCAAAGTTAATATTACTAGACTTATATAGAATATTGATTATAAATAAACTTACCTGATTCTTCCCCTATATTTTGGGATCGGTTGAAATTTCCAACCACAAATGTGCCTGTATCTCTAGATATACTTGTGGTTATAACGCCCACTCTAGGGCCTGAGCGTCGGGGCCCCAGTGGATCTTCCCTAGTTGCACCACTAAAGATACGGCGTTCTTTCCCAAACGCGTCCTTTAGCGCCGAATCGAAGATCCGCGAATCATAACAGCTATCGTGTAGAAGCCATTGGAACCATCTTGCCATTTGTCCAAAAAGTGACGTAGATCCCACAACTCGGCGAAGGAGTAGAGATGGCCGTCTTTCTTGAAAAATACGGCGTGCCATATATTCAAAGCGCTGCGAACATTCTGTAATATTCCAGTTCATGGTAAACAATCCTAGAGAAATAAGACCTCCTATAATATATTAGTTATATTAAATATTTAGAGTAAATAAGATAACAGCTTACCCGAGCTTGTACCGATCGCAAGATCCACCACATCTTGAATCGTGCATGGGCCTAGATGTTCTTGTATTAGGAGTAAGAACTCCAGCGGGATTACCCCCCTTACACCCCCACCATCAATAGCGAGAATTGTGGGGCTTGCAGTTGGCGGCAGAATATCCACAATCAATGGTCTTTGATATAGACAATAAAGACAGCCCTTGATAGTAAACTGGTATTCTGACTGTACTGTTGGTAGTCCGAAAACTTGCGCACAACGGTCGCATAATGTATGTCCGCATGCTAGAACATGTTGAGCAGCATTTGTGAGACAATATAAGCAAACATGATTGCAATGTAAGCGACATAGTAAGCTGCTTTGGGACATTAGTTGTTTCTTCCGTAAATCAACTGATGAAGATGGACCATTTTTGTAATCTTTAAAAAGATCACAGAAGTATGATTGAACTAGAAGGGTTTGGTCGGATGGGCAAGTATTAAGCCATAACTCTTCACAAGACTGGTAACATAGGGTAATGGTTGATTTGTAAAGGGCTTGGAAAACTATTATAGGGCTTGTTGCTAAAAAAAATTGAGATATTAATAGACAATATTTCGACAAAAGAATATAGCTTACCATATATATTTGGGACATAGTGGTCCATGAAAAGGGCCGAGGCAATTGATGGGGCTAAATGGTGGATTTGTAGATGTGCACGATGTCCAGCCTGAAGGTAATGTACTAAGTATGATTCCATATTCATGTTCACTGGGCGATCCTTTCTCATAGCTTTAACCACATCGAAATGTGTGGTAACATCATGTAGCATATGATCCACTGCTGATTGAAATAGTGCTAGGAAATGATTACCGTTTGGCCGACCGTGGTATTCTTGGCGAATCGAGGAGAGAAGATCTACCTGCTCCCCTATAATAGACTTGAGCTTGTAGAACTGTGCACTATTAGATAGAGCGCTCTCATCCGATATATATATTATAGTAGTACTCGAGAAAATCTGAGTAAGATCTTTATACCCAGCCTCTTCTATCTTCTGATTGAGGTACTGTTGTCCTGTAAGAGATACTGTGGTGTTATAAATGAATATAGCCTTGGGTAGTAAAGACTTGGGTAGCTGTGAGGCGGAACCGAAATTTAAACAGCCAAGTAAAAGGCTGACAACTTTTTGGACGTCATCATCGTTATCAAGAAAGATACAAATAACATCAGTAAAGCAAAAGACCAGACGTGACCATAATGCAATTAGAATTCGGCGTGCAGATTTGGATTCCCAAGAAACAGGCCAGCCTTGGCCGGCTTGTAACACTTTAAGGGCGCTAAAGTCTTCCAAGCTCGGGATATCACCATCAGCTAGCAGAGTAGGCTGTTGGCTTCCAAGAGAACTGATATCATATCGAAGTCGGATCTGGGCATCTGAAATATGCCGTTTGATGTTATTTAGTGGGTAAAGCTGCTGAAGGGCATGGTCTTTGGTCTTCCCTCCAAGAAAAGTACATAATGAGGGGTACTGGTTCTCTGGATTGAAAAGCTCAGCGATAACACTTCTTAGCCGACGATGGTCTAGGACTGCAAGACTAGAATCCTCACGGATACCAATCTCAAGCCAACCAATATCTATCGAGTTTTGCATGTTGGGGTTTTTGGCCTGGAATCATGAATACAGTTGGATACTTATATTGTAGATAACTCCTTAATTTATTCTACTTGTTTCATACCAAGGGTGATACTGGAGGGACAAAAATGTAAAATAATGTCTCACCTTCGTATTTACCGGATACAATGTCTTTTTTTAGCGCGCATTCGGGCTTTGAGTGGATCTGGCTAAGGCCTAGGCACTAAATATCACCCTAACACCGGTTCGTACTTCTACTCCCATAAAAGGCCCGAGGAAATTAAAAAAAATCATTTTGTTCCTCTTCCATTTCTTTTTCATTACATGAATCACCCCCTAAGAATGGGGAATTTTGATAACTCCAATAATCTCTGGGAGAATATGGAAACAGATTTCCAATTCCCTAGCGATGAAGATATCATGGCGACAGAAATAAACAATATCACCTATGATTCATCCGTTTCTGGAGAACCATGGCAGAATGATTTTGATCATTTGATTTGCGAGTTCATACCAAATGGTGGCTTTAACACTATACAACAAGAAATTCCTGGGTAAGTTAAAGTTATCACAAGTTGCTTCATAGGCTAATATCATGATAGAGATATTGGCGAACTTCCAGATTTACCCTCCCCAACAAAGATTCGAAAATTCGAAGAGTTTCACAATCTGTATTCTCACACATTTTCTACGACTTCAAATACAAGTGATGCAATATTACCTATTGCCATACCGTCCGACAACGAATCATCGGCACCCGATTTAACAGTCCCTTGTGCGAGCCAAGGACCCTCACCCAAGATGACCTACAACTGGACTGTTCCTTCACAGCCTAAAAACGAGATCGAAAGGTTGAGTGATCGTATGGGGGATTTGGATCGTCGGTTCCTGGAGCTGGAGACCCGTTTTGGCTGTTTACAGAATAGTTTGGAAAACTTTCATAATACGGTGAATGAAGTTGGGGAAAAAATCAAAATCTTTGATGGTTATCTTATAGAAATTATCAAGAGGGAGAAGGAGGCTATGGAAGAGTTTTTACAGCTAAAGGTATAGATACTAATAATATCATACTATTCTTTCTCATATCACATTTGTTCAACTTCAAAGTTCTAATTACACTTAAATTCATTCTTAAAAAAAGCCCCCCGCTCCATTTCCTGTATTCAGTTCCCACAAATTCATGTATCGTTGCTCAGATTCATCCAAACGAGAAGTTGCTTGAGAAAGGGCATCTTCTAGAGATGTGAAGATATTAACAACCTTATCTTGAAATTGAAGAAGTATCTGCTTTGTCTCTTTGTGCCATTGGAGCTCAGCTCTGAGATAGCTTATCTCATATACAAGCTCTTCAAAACGAACTGTCAAATCTGGTGATGTTGATTTCGCAAGCTTTAAACGGGATGGCAATCGATCCAGATTTGATGATGTGCCTCCAAGACAAAGTATCTGATGGTCCGTAGGCGTGATCTCCTCGGATATAGGCTCCAGTGGCTGGTTGGAATACTGGCTCATCTCTTGTAGCTCTTGCTCTTTGGTGATATGAGATATGAATATTTTGAAGATAATGATTGTCAATTTGAACTAGATAGCAAAGATCATAATTGGTATATTTTTATTTTTGAGAAACTCACTTCGTATAATCTTATATCTTAATTCATATATGACGCAATCCTGCTATGAAAGAGATGAAGTGATTTTGGTCTATTTCAGAATAATGCGACACTGCGACACTGCTTTTGATCCCAGTTTGCCTTTTGCCCCGTTTCCTTCCCTTTGAGATATGCGACAGTATATTTGGGTTGTGATAATTTTTGTTATTTGATCATGTATAAATATCCATCCCCGAAATATCTCATGGTTTATAGAAGATTCAGTATCTATTTCAACCCGCTTCGAACATGGCTTCCCAAGAGGCAGGCGCATCATCAAGCAGCAACGATCCTCGGCTACAGGTAGGGCCTTGACTGACCCCCTTTACAACTGTTACTTGGACTAACAGATAGAATTTATCAGCACCATGAAGATAATTTTTCATACAATAGTAGTCCATATTGTTTGATTGAGAAGCTGTTACATCAGGAAAAACAGTCAAAGAACTACCAAGCACAACTTGAATCTAGGATCTATAGTGATTTTGCTGCAAACAACAAACTGCGTGCTCATTGCCAACAGCTAGAGAGAATGATTATTGGTATACAATACCAGAAATCACTTGCTGAGATTTCCTTATCTCATACCTCGGAGGCCTATCGTGTGGTATTTCAAGATCTTGAAAAGGAAAAATCCAAAGTACAACAGCTGGAATTTTCCGTCAATGATCTTCATCCAACGGTTGGGTTGGTACTTGAGAAGTTGAGACGAAACGAGAACAACAGCAATTGGCTCAATGATAAAGAAATGTACGATGATGCCGCGCTGGATAATCAATACCACATGATGCACCAGGAGCATCAGGAGCATTTCGAAGACGCCAAGGAAGAAGAGCAGGAGGGTTCCACCACGTCAGATGGCTCTTGCGAAATCCTGACCTGAAGAAATATTTTGAGAAACGGGCGAGGTGGAGTGCCCAGGTGGGGGAAGACCAAACAAGATTTGGATCAGGCCGGGCAGCTTAGGTTCTCTGTACAGACTACATACTCCACACTGTCACAGTATTTAGTTATTTGTTAAATTGTTCTAGCAGCCGCCTAAATAACAATCTTTGTCCCGACTCCCTAGCGCTACAATAGCACCTTACGGGGTATTTACAGAGTAGTTTGTAGAGAGACGCATATATACGGAGTATATTTTAGGACTTGATAGGTCATACGGAGACACGGAACATTGTAAACAATAAGACCGAAAAATGCAAATAAAATCAGCCCCCAAGTTGGGGCATAACGGCATTGGTCGACTAGTGCAGGGACATTTGTTTAGCGTGCTGTACGGCGCGTCCGCAAAGGGGAACAAGTTCTCCAGGCAATCTGATTGGATGTAACTAGTGGGGTAGACGGCACAGGCGGCACAGGCGGCACCTACCCATACAAGGCACTGCATACGTAGCTTCGCATAATCTGTATGATAAAGTAAGATGGGGGCCAAAAAACTAGCCTCAATCATAGATGTCCCTGATAAACAAACGCTAACTAGCTTAGCATATGGTAAATCAAGATTAGCAGAAGAGGGGAACCCTGTCAGGTGTGTATAGTTTCGGTAAGCAAGCGGTTAAGTTACGTCACCCAAAATGAACGCCGTTTTGGACCTTGTGGATCTAGAGTTGCGACATAGATTTTGGTTTTGAAGTATTGGAACCTTGGAAGGCAAGTACTTTATAAGTATACCTACCGGATGGGCATTTTACCAAAACCAATAAACTACGGCAAGACCAAACAGGTATAGTATCTCAACTCCTACTCACAATTCTGTCCATTAACAAGGTTATAGAATGAAAGGAACAATCTTATGGTCCTGCGTGTCCTGCTGGGAAACCGAAAGCCATGGACTAAAAATCAAGTTTATTCCTTATGACCCAGCATCATATATGACCATATTTTGGTCATTCTTCCTCCCTGCAAAACACCGTATACATATACATACTGTGTGTGCACCTTGCTTGCAGAAGCTGGAAGACATCTCAGTCGATGAACAGTTAGATATGATCCGCAATCACAGGAATGAGCAAGCACTCAAACCACGCGTAGCCTGGTCGAGGCAAGAATGGGGTTTCTGGATACCAAATTTGGAGTATCAGCAAATTCAAGAGGCAGTACGAGAAAATAGGGAAATATTTTTACATATTTTTGGTACTGCATTATTGGCTCGGGAAACTTGAAATTGTGGAGTTCGGGTGATTGCTGCCCGTTCATATTCCGTTAAGATATTAGGTAGATCGAAATCAATATCATCAATCATATGATTTATAATGTCCTTCCAAAGTTTTAAGTACAGGATGGATCGAAATCAGTTTCACCACTTTGCTCTTATAGATTCTATCTCGAACCCTAGTCCCAGACGCGCTAGTCCTTTTCCGGCATAGCTCATTTTCAAGTGTTGAATCGTATTGAAAAGTATTATCACGTGCTAGATTATTCACTAATTTACTTGTATTGCCATTACCAACAATACTAGCACCTTGCAGCCTCTTTAAGCTTGTTGGCGACAGTCCTTGTGTTTGTCTCAATATTTGATAACGGAGCTTGACTGCGTAATGAGGCCAATACCTATCTAGAAAGGCGCACTAGGTCAATTTGTGACGAGGGATCGTTTTGGTAAGTAGCATATAGCAGAAAATGCAATGTGAACATGAACCCTGAGCGTAAATTACCTACACATTCATATCCAGCGCCCTCGTAAGTATTCCCTATCTATTTCCCACTCCCCATCCGTTTCCCATTCCCCTTCAGTCTCCCGTGTCGCTTCCGTTTCCCATTCTAACAATGTTTCAGAATTAGATAAAGTAGTGGGATGGTTTGGGCCGAGTGTTTGCTTCTGCTTGGTTAAGCACTCTCGTAGCAGATTGATGGCTTCGGCATCGTGAGCGGAAGATTTCCAGGTGAAAGCGAGATTCGCCATACTAGTCAGCGTGTCGGGATGGTCCTCGCCGAGCTTCGCCTTGCGAGTCTCCATCACCTGCATAGATAGCTGCTCAGCCTCGTCCCATCGGCTCTGGTTCCTGTACGTCGACGCTAGGTTGGTCATACTAGCTAGCGTGGAGGGATGTTCCTCGCCGAGCTTTGTCTTGCTCGACTTCAAAACCTTCACAAAGAGGTTCTCGGCCTCCTCCCACCGGCCCTGATTCGAAAGCGTCGACGCTAGGTTGGCCATACTGGTGAGCGTGGCGAGATGGTCCTCGCCGAGCTTTATCTTCTGAGCCTTTGTCACCTGTATGAAGAGCTGCTCGGCCTCCTCCAACCGGCCCTGGTTCTTATACGTCGACGCTAGGTTGGCCATACTGCTCAGCGTGTCGGGATGGTCCTTGCCGAGCTTCGTCTTGCGAGTCTTTATCACCTGCACCAAGAGCTGCTCGGCCTCCTCCAACCGGCCCTGGTTCCTATACGTCAACGCTAGGTTGGCCATACTGGTGAGCGTATCGGGATGATCCTCGCCGAGCTTTGTCTTGCTCGACTTAAAAGCCTTCATAAAGATATTCTCGGCCTCTTCCCACCGGCCCTTATTCAAAAGCGTCGACGCTAGGTTAGCCATACTGGTGAGCGTAGCGGGATGGTCCGCGCCTAGCTTTGTCTTGATCAACTTCAAAACCTCCACAAAGGACTTCTCGGCCTCTTCCCAACGGCCCTGATTCTAAAGCATCGACGCTAGGTTGGCCATACTGGTGAGCGTGGCGGGATGATCCGCACCAAGCTTCGTCTTACTCATCTTCACTACCTATATCAAGAGCTGCTCAGCCTCCTCCCACCGGCCCTGGTTCCAAAGTATTAACGCCAAGTTGGCTATACTGATAAACATGTCGGGATGGTCCTTGCCAAGCTTTATCTTACGAGTCTTTATCACCTGCACGAAGAGCTACTCGGCCTCCTCCCACCGGCCCTGGTTTCAAAACATCAATACTAGGTTGGCTATACTACCCAGCATATCAGCATGTTCCTCGCTAAGCTTCATCTTCCTCGTCTTTATCACCTGCATAAAGAGCTACTCAGCCTCCTGCCATCAGCCGTCAAGCCAGTATGCTTTTACCAACATGTCTGTGCTATTAAGGACCTCTTTATACTCTTCACCAAGTAATATCACTCTTTGATTTCTTGATTTTGCTACCATTTCTATCACATCCGGGATATTACCTCTTTGCCACATATACCACACACCTCTATAGAGCAACATAGCCCATTGTTGTAGAAACTCAGGTGATACTGGTTATTGTGACATTACGGATTTCACATAGGGAAATAGCGCCCGGCACCTCTCCCAATTCTCATATTCACCCGTAGGACACTCTTCGCATAGATTACTAATAAATATTTCCCGCTATTAATTAGTTTACCCACGAGATTTCAACCATATATATATAGCCAGTTGCACCAGCCGATGCATTGTGAAAAAAGTGCTGTTCTCACTAATAGATATAAATACAAAATTCCTTAGTGTTATGATATTATCTTCAAAATCGGGGGCTAGATCAGATTCAGAATCTTCCCTATCATCAGAGTCGTTCAGAAGCTCTGAAACTAATGTGTCATTGGCCTCGGGTCAATGCCGGATAAGGTTCTCCGGTATCTCTTATCGATCGAAAAAACTTATAAGAGAAAGCAACTCCGCTGTAGATAGCTTTATTTAACATATATAATCGAAGGATATTTGCCACGTCACTAGAATTAAATTCTTTACTTCCCAGTCTCGGTAGTAGTAGCCCGCCTCTGCTTTCAGAAGCCTGATAGCTTTGCGATTGCTCCCTTAGAAGTCTCTTAAGTATTGTGATACTGAATAGCAAGGCACCTGATTTTAAATATAACTAGCGGCCTATATGACCGCTAGCGGCATAAGCTCCAATACGTTCACCAACTGTTGACTCTCGTCACTTTCCCTTAGTTAATCAAGCTTCCTTTGGAGAAGCTCTAGCGCTTCGGATTCCTCTATCGGTTTAACCTTAATAAGGTCCTTGTGATCGGCCATCTTCAATGTAATATTTCTATTACGGCTCGTGATGATGATAGAACTATTGTGGCTCCTAGGAATATATTCTAATAGTGGTTTTTTCGAGGTGTTTGTTTGGCCGCTTATTGGGTCTTCCTTGCCTGCCACCGAGAACGAGTAAAGAAGTTGATCGTTATCGACATTATTAAGGATTAAGAGCTATTTTCCTCTACCCTCATCCCGGAGCCAGTTCCCGACTAGTTTGAATATATTAACTTGATGATCCTGACGGCCTGGGATTTTGATTTGATCCGCGATATCCCGAAAGCTTTGCTCGAACCGGGCTTCATTACTCGCATAGACCTAAAACACCCATGTCGCCGGCGATTGGGATCGGACTTGGTAGGAGTATTCGATGGCAAGTTGCGATTTACTTCAATTATTAGTAATAAGGAACGCACCAAACTCGTCCCTCTAGACTTACCCGACGCCGCCAAGGCCAACCAGTGCTATCCTTGACCCTGGCACTGAGCTTTTCTGGTGGATCTGAAGAAGTAGCGTGTCGCGACTGACAAAGCCTTGATCACGCGCGAACGGGACAGTGGATAGAGGGCTGGGTGGGGTTTCCGGTCGCACTAGGATGCGGCGATTAGTCACGACCAGCTTGTCCCGCTCCTCTAACTTACCTGGAGGTAGATGGAAGTCTATCGAGCCACGGTTAATTCCAACTTGGAGAGCATAGTTGTTGCCACGGAATGATATCGATGCCATGATCAAATAAACGTGCCTCGTTGTAGTTCAGGAGAAAGCTTGTCTGCTTCTCAGCTGAACGCGGGGCACTTCCTCGGGTTCACCATCAGGTGACTTTCGCGGCGCTAGGAGACAGGAATCCATTGGCAGCAACCCACAGAACATTCGGTCGGTCTTGAGTAGGGCGAGACTACCCCCTTCCAGGAACTTACTCAGCCCGAGTTCGAACACTCAGATCAAGTGCAGCAGCGATAACCAGCCTCATCCCATCCCCTTTCCCCCGTTACAAGTGAAGGAATGGAAAATGCGAGAACTTAATCTATTGCTGCGATGGTGAAACCGACGCATGGTTTACCAGTCTTGCAACCGTCTTTTTTTGAGGTCCGCAGCTTTGAGATGGCCCTATACAAGCTCCCAGGAACTGCGAGTTCGCCAAGTCACGTGCATTTCCTAATATCTAGCACCCCCCAGCCTTTCGCCTAAATTCATTTCACCTGCTCACTGAGCAGAGGGGTGAGCAAGGGTGAGCAGATGGAGTCGCTCCCCACTCCCGTTCCCCCCGTGATGGTTGACCATCGCCCCTCCTAAAGCTCTCCTCCGTCAACGTCCAGAATTCCCTTCGCAATATGGCGCCAAGACTCCCTCTCTCCAAGCTTGAAATGATCCAGAACATGATATCGAGCAAAGCACTGACTACCTCGCAAATGGCTAAAGCGGCTGAATGCAGTAAGCGTTCTATTATCAACATCAGCAATAACCTCCGCCGATTTGGAAATGCCAGGGCACCCCCAACTCGAGTCGGTCGACGACGAAGCATAACACCTCCGATGATAAAAGCGCTATATGATCGCCTCCTCGAAAAACCCGGGCTATATATAGACGAGATGGCAATCTTTCTATGGGACGAGTTCCGTGTTTAGGTCACAAATTCGAGCCTTAAGAGGGCTCTTACATCGGTAGGTTGGTCGAAGAAGGTGGCTTGACGGAGAGCAAAGGAACAGAATGCGGATCTACGAGATTCCTATATGTATTATCTGTCGGACTTTAAGTCATATCACTTAGTCTATGTAGATGAGTCTGGATGTGATAAACGAATCGGATTTAGACGGACAGGTTGGTCTCCGTTAGGCACGGCACTATTACAGGTAGCCAACTTCTATCACGACCAGTGATACCAGATACTGCCTGTATATTGCCAAGATAGGATCATACTCTCTTGTGTATTCTAGGGCTCCACCGATGCTGCAGTATTCAAGGACTTTATTGATCAGCTTCTGAAGTATTATGGAAGATAGCCTGAGCCAAAGTCCGTTCTAGTCATGGACAACGCGTCTTTTCATCATTCTGATCATATCGACGCGATGTGCACTGCAGCAGGAGTCAAGCTAGTGTATCTGCCACCGTACTTACCCGACCTAAATCCGATCGAGGAGTTTTTCTCGGAGTTAAAAGCATTTATTAGACGGAACTGGTTACGGTATGAGGAAAACTCAGAACAGGGGTTTCAAACATTCCTCAACTGGTGTATTGAGGTTGTTGGATCTCGAAAACAAAGTGCTTTGGGTTATTTTAGACATTCCGGCGTTAATATCCAGGTTTATAATTTAATGATAGACTAGACTAGCAATATAGCAACGTTGTATATATATAGTATGGACTGCTAATGAAACCTACCCCTAAGGCTCTAATCATTTTCTGTCCACTAGTATGTTCTATTTATGTTCTGAATTAGATATTTAAGATAAGTAATTTAATAAAAAGTATCATGATTATCCTAGCCACTATACTCCTTTAAAGTACTATCTATATACACTCAGCCGGCAAAACATTCCTCACACTTCTGACCTATTTTACTATATCTCTTACGAATTGACAGGTAATACCTACTATGATCCCTTGATCGATAAAGAATGACGGTTCTTGGTCCTTATAGATTAGCTGAAGATCGAAACCATTCGCCTTATGCTATGCGCTATACTCTCTGACCACGAGATCTCGAAGTCTAGGAATATTAAAGTTGTTATTGACTTGGGCTTTTGGTGACAAAGGTATTGCTGGGGATGCGGAGGATTCGGGCGTCTTTAATTAAGAGGAAGGTTGTACCCTATTGAGATGTATATTGATGGGATAACTTCCTGGGTTACTGGATATATTTTACTGGATATATTTTTTTTCTTGGATTGTTGCTTCTCTAGCTGTTACTGTTCTTCTATAAATATTTCTTCGCGAAAGACTTCTGGGATGTCTTTATGAGACTGTAGGGTGTTGCCTTTTTCCACGAAGGCGATTAAACGATTTGAATGGTGGCTCCTCAGCGTATAGTGCTTTTTCCTGTGTGGATCTTGCCAGTAATGTGGGCCAAGATGGTATGACGAAGAAGGATAACCTATTAGGTTGTATATAGCTTGCTAAATAGATTCTTGCCTAGATAAATTCTCCTTGGTATCCAGTTGAATGTCTAGCTCTTTGAGTATCTGTTTAGTGACTGATAACCTTCCTCTTTTCTTGACCCTACCTGAGGTAGTCCTGTGGAGATTTTTATCCTCTATGTATTTAAATGTAATACTTAGCCTTAATTCCTTACCTTGAGAATACTGTTTGCTCTACTTAAGGAGCTGTTTCTCTACTGTGGTCCAATCAATGTTGAGGTGGTCAAATTGCTTTAGCAGGTCATGTTGGGAGCGATTATTCACCGATATGATGATTGAAGTGTTATCTGGCCTAACCCCTCCTTTATGAGAGGTCTTCCCTTGTATTAACTTCTCTAACTTGCTCTTTAAGGTCAAGGACCAGTAAGTACTTGGTGTTAGCGCTATGTCCTGTTCCGAGTCTTGTAAGATGACTTTGTTATTCACCGTGACTTTCCACTCTATTGTGTACTGGATGTAGCTTGTTGGAAGGTCATCATTGGTAAACCTGCTGTTCTATTCAGAGAGCTGGAGTAGGCCAGGCCTTGTAGGCTCGTTTTGGGACAGTTCTTCTGGGTCATCGGAGTATTCGTTCGGTGAAGGACTAAGCGCGCATCCCGACGCAGGAGTACGATCGAAATATCCTGGAGTGGGGGCATATTGCCAATCCTGATCTGCAGGATCGAGGTCGTCAAATTGGGAATCGTTGTCATTGGAAAACGAGCTAGCGGTCATCGTTCGTGTTAAGGCTCTGACCAATCCAGAGATTCAATGTCAGCACCATCTCATCCAGTCAAAGTCTAGCCAGTGCTGGTCGCTAATCAAATCCGTCACACAAAAGGAAAAACAATAACCCACTAGTACCGTATAATAAACACCTTACTCATGCAAACACTCTAAAGTTGAGTAATTGATAGACTGGGTTCCGAAGTCTGGCAGCCCGATGAGGGAGATCTCCCATTTGTTTGCCTTGTTTGCAGGCTTGACATTCTAGAAACCCCCAAAGCGATACAAGTGTAATACAGAATCTATCTGTGTACTGTTATTTTGGAATGTATTGAAATACTGCCAAGAAAAGGGGTCAGGGGTAGAGTAACTGTAATAGGCATAGCGTGTTTTTAAAGAGGGTTCGAGAAATAATCTCTGTGTGCAAGTGGTGAAACTGATTTCGATCTATCCTGTAATATAATAGGAATAAATTTTGATTCCAATACTACAATGCGAAAACAAAACTTTAATCTGTATTCTCGAATTTCGCCCAAATTCACAAGCATAAACTCACTAGGACTCTAGGAGATAGAAACACTAAGCACTAATAGATTATTTCCGCTTCTACCCCATCAAAGCTCATAGGCTAAAATTTACCCACCCAATCAGAAAGCATCTTTTAGATGACTCAAAACATATGTCGCAACTCCTAATCACTGCTATATGGTCCAGTCTGATTATACCTGAAGTCTATATACTGCCTATTCCTATCCTCCTCAATTTTAACTTAGTTATGGCAAACCTCAACGATATACCTTTTGAACTCTTGCTACTGATCCTTGAAAACTTGGAAAAACAATCTATAAAGTCAGTTTCAATTGTCAGCAAAAGATGCAGATCAGCTAGCACATCTCAGTTATTCCATACAATCACAATGACTTTTTCGAAGTCCAGTCTCGTGAATTTCACACAATTTGCTAATTCACGTTTTGCACCTTGTGCAAAGGTGCTTCGATATGAAGTCTCCGAGTTAGTTGATCCAGGTAAGCATTTATCTCATCATACTATGAATAGAGAATTTTAGCTTACTTCTTTAAGCAATACAAAATTGGAATCATTTCACCACTTGCATATATACGCGGCAGGAGTATGAAAGAGATCAACGGGACTTCCGATGGGACCTTCGAGGAAAGGAATTCTCCTACAAACACCTGTTCTTTTATTTCAGAAGGATTGCCGAAGCACAATATGGCGTTTTAGGAAGCATTCAAACCTGCATATTTTCCCAGAATCTTCCATACTTGTCAGGCCTCGAAAAGATAGAATTATCTTTCAACGGAGCCAAAGATGATCAGAGACTATGGTTCGCAAATCGAATCTTTATCGAAGGCAGAGAATCGTTCATCGTTCACCTTGAGGCAGTGTTTAGAGGTATGGCAGAAGCTCGACAAAACGGAGTATGTATTAGATCGATACAGATTGATGGAATTCGTCTAGCCTGCTCCCCCTCGAAGGATCTTTTGACAGCAGCTTTGACAGGTGTGGGTATGATTAAATTGATTGACAGTTCGGATTTCATGATGGCCATGTCGTCAGTTCTTTTGCCATCATTACAATTTCTGGAGCTACAAAACTGTGATATATCTGCTATTGATCTAGCCAAATTTCTGCAGCTCAATGAATGTAAAATGAAACTTTCATAAATAGAACACAGTTCTAGATAAAAGTTAAAAGCGGGTCCATCCAGATGTCCCGAGGTCAAAGTACCCACTAGCTATAGGTAGGTATAAGTATATCATACTCCCATATTCCCACCTGGGAACCTTGAAAAACAATTCTAAGTTTTAGTGGAGCATCAGTACATCAAAACGGTTGCCAGAAATCTAGGGCTATGGAGGGAACACCTTATATTGGGAATGAGAAACGGGCATCATGGCGGTCAAGTTGTCGCGACTGCCTTGCACAACATATATGTAAGTCCATCCAGACGACTCCATCCACAATGTACTTGAATATAATATAATTTATTTACTAACATTTGGAATAGGGGAGGCAGTCGGAATAAGAGTCAAACCGTCAGATGTCCGACTGAAAAACGGCGACGACATGGAATATAAGTGGGAGATAAATGATCCTACTTTAAAGCCTCTTTTTCAAAAGCATCTAAGTAAACACTCGGTTGGGGCGTACATGCTTCTACAAAGAGGTGTTGGGAAGACTTTTCGTGCAGTCCGACCCGTGAAGGTAAATCCACAAGAATAGACCTGAGGCCAAAAGCTTATGATGTGTATTAGGAGCAGGATATAATTACAAAACTACAGGAAAGGAATCTTGAACTAGCCGAAAAGTTGAGATCGGTTGAAGTTCAAGTACAAAATTATGAGAAGGCCGCTGAAGATGCAGCGAAAGAGATTCAAAAGCAACATATAATTATCGAGGAAGCTCAAACTATTATTGATCATCATAAACAAGAGGCCCTAGGCTGGATGACTATCTCTGAGTGGCACCAGACTCGATCCATTCAATGCTCCGATGCTTTGGGTCAAATTCTGATGTTCCTACAGGGGACTCCCACATTTCCTGATGAATGTTATCCAGACATAGCTGAGAGCACTGCTGAATAGTTATCTTAAATTAGCTAGATTTTGATTATTCGCCTAATGAAATTGAATTCTAGCATTATCTCTGCGAGGGTGATATTGCGACACCGTTTTCTGCTCCCCTGTCGTAGAAATGGGGGCGGAATTGTCAATAATCATGGGGCAGGTAAGCTTCCTTACAAGGCCAGATCCGTGCTTCCTGCCAGAGCCATGCTTCCTGCCAGAGCCATGCTTCCTGCCAGAGCCGTGCTTCCTGCCAGAGCCATGCTTCCTGCCAGAGCCGTGCTTCCTGCCAGAGCCGTGCTTCCTGCCAGAGCCATGCTTCCTGCCAGAGCCATGCTTCCTGCCAGAGCCGTGCTTCCTGCCAGAGCCGTGCTTCCTGCCAGAGCCATGCTTCCTGCCAGAGCCGTGCTTCCTGCCAGAGCCATGCTTCCTGCCAGAGCCGTGCTTCCTGCCAGAGCCATACTTCCTGCCAGAGCCATGCTTCCTGCCAGAGCCGTGCTTCCTGCCAGAGCCATGCTTCCTGCCAGAGCCATGCTTCCTGCCAGAGCCGTGCTTCCTGCCAGAGCCATACTTCCTGCCAGAGCCATGCTTCCTGCCAGAGCCATGCTTCCTGCCAGAGCCGTGCTTCCTGCCAGAGCCATACTTCCTGCCAGAGCCATGCTTCCTGCCAGAGCCATGCTTCCTGCCAGAGCCGTGCTTCCTGCCAGAGCCATGCTTCCTGCCAGAGCCGTGCTTCCTGCCAGAGCCGTGCTTCCTGCCAGAGCCATGCTTCCTGCCAGAGCCATGCTTCCTGCCAGAGCCGTGCTTCCTGCCAGAGCCATGCTTCCTGCCAGAGCCGTGCTTCCTGCCAGAGCCGTGCTTCCTGCCAGAGCCATGCTTCCTGCCAGAGCCATGCTTCCTGCCAGAGCCATGCTTCCTGCCAGAGCCGTGCTTCCTGCCAGAGCCATACTTCCTGCCAGAGCCATGCTTCCTGCCAGAGCCGTGCTTCCTGCCAGAGCCATGCTTCCTGCCAGAGCCGTGCTTCCTGCCAGAGCCATGCTTCCTGCCAGAGCCATGCTTCCTGCCAGAGCCGTGCTTCCTGCCAGAGCCGTGCTTCCTGCCAGAGCCATGCTTCCTGCCAGAGCCATGCTTCCTGCCAGAGCCGTGCTTCCTGCCACTGCCAGAGCCGTACTTCCTCTATTGTGTATTCTATTCCGCCATCATTATATTATTTCCTTTCTTAGTTATACTTCAAATATTATTCAAGCTCTGGAATTCTAACCATTTCGCTCCGTCTTATAATACATTTCTTTCTTGAGCAGTCCCCATCCCTAGGAAAAGCAAGTGGGTAAATACTATTCCATCTGCTATATCCCATACGGTATGATTTCGATCGTGGTTGAAGACAAGAGCGACAAATAAGTCGCTCTGCATTGGTTTCAAGCTGTGATTGACTATAGGTCGGCGGAGAAGTATCGATGAGCGGTTGATAATCATCTGTCATTCTATCTCCTGTTCTGAAAAAGCTGGTTAATAATTAATTTAAATCAGAGCTATTCACTAACCTATTCTTCACCCATAGTCTAACCCCAGTATACCACTTCATCTTGAGCTTTGTGCCTTTAAAAGTTGTTGATTCCCTAGAGTGATTTATCTTTTCCACCCTTTCCCCCTAAAGGCGTGCTATAAATACCTAGGCATCATTTATTAATAATCACCTTGCCGCATAGTAATCAATCCCGATGTTTGCGGTTGTATATTTTAGGGAGCCGTTTTATATGCTGCAGGTTGATCTCTTCACAAGTTACACCCGTGTAATTTCTGGAATTATTAGGACCTTATATGCCTTGTATCTTTTTACACTGTCCCTCTTCCTTTCCAAGGCTCTCTTTCATACTCAATTTCCTTATTCCTGATAATATTTACCAACTTCTGTTAAAGAATAAAACTAATAATGAGAAAGTTTATTCATGCACTTATACGTAAGACTCCATCTAAGTCAAAAGCCAAGGGCTATACTAATATTTGGTTGGGTAGCCTGGAAGCATAAGGCTAGCAAAGAATATAATTCCAACCTGCCTTTTACTCTTGAAACTTCACCTGGTCTCCCACAATCAGATTTGGATAAGATCATTTTCGACACCGACTGGAAACTAAGAGCGGGATGGGTATGCATGCATTCCAAAAGTTATGATGCTCGTCGCAGTACAAATATCTTTCGTTTTGTTAATAATGCCGGTAAAACCTATGATGAAGATGATCTAGCTATTGAAAGAGCTCAAGTATTCAGAAAAGAGTATAAAGATGGAGTTTACTACTATCGCCGCTTGGAGATTGAGAATGTTTCTCTGCCCCTGGGATCTGGGAGGTCTGCTATTAAGGCAGGGTGGGGCTACCGGTAGACCTGAAGCATGTGAGGTGAAATATTCACTCCTTTTGGAGATTGCCTTTTACTTTTTACTTTTTTCCTTTTCCCTTTTTCCTTTTTATTTTCAATGTTCCATTTTCATTTTTTCAAGCTACCTATCATGTTATATTTCTACCATTACTAGTAGGATATAGAATATTATGAATCAAAGCAAATTTTGTTTACTTTCGAATTAAAACCAAGGCCTAAAGAAAATTTGACTATCTAATTCGGCTATATTAGTCTGTAATATGGCTTCCAATACGAATTCCGAAAGGCAAAGTCTCAAAGTAATGGCGTTTTAAACTCCATGCTCCGCCGGGATTTGCTAGTTGTAAAAATTCATCCTTTATATAAAATCAATTAGAAATTTTATTGACAAAAAGAGACTTTAAGCTTACCTTCATCAATGGCTCAATAGATGGTTCTGTCTTTGCTTTGTGTACAAAGGAGCGTGCTAACCGTGAAAGGGATTCTATATTATCATCTTTCACATGGTCAGAGAGGGAGGTACCACGATCGCTCAGTTCAACCACTATTGCTCCAACATCTCTTATATCTTTGCGAAATGCAGTGGATGAAGAGTCATTCGCTAACAGACATTCCCCGATATTTGCTAAAAATCACCATATTAGAAATTAGAATGGCTCAGAGTAGACTTGAGCCTATCAAGGTGTTTTGGATGGTAAAGGATTACTAGAAAACCTTAGAACATACCAAGCTTTACCTGTCCTTGTGAAGTAAGAATAATATTACTCAGGCTTAGGAGACCATATAACGCCTTCAGCTCCGAATGAATATATTTCAGCCCATCAAGTACTTCCTTGCAGATTGTTGCTATATCGGCTTCATTGAAATAAACTGTCCCTGCAACACAACCGATAGTAATTGCCATATGCTCATATTCGTATATCAAATAAACAACTTGGTCTGATTGAAAGAAGTCGATTAGAGATATGATGTTTTTGTGACCACTAGCTTTAAGATTTCGAATATATCTAGATCTTCGGACCTCAGATTGTTTGATGAGGCAGCTTGGTAAATTCTCTAAGTCTTTCAACGCAATAACTCCTGGCCCGGCCTGGTCAATTTGGAATGACCTGTGGTAATCTTTGAGTGAGCTATGTTTGGAATCTTCCGATTGTTGTCGAATTTCGCTTGGAATCACTGGAATCCCTAGACGGTGAGTATGGTTCTTATCAAGTATTTTCGCAGGGCGGCTAATTTGATATCCACTATCTTCTTTCCATAAAGAATTAGGGAGCACTGTAGCTCTCTTTGTGTTTGTGCCCATTTTAGTTTTGAATCTTGATATAAGTCTGTTTAGAATTCTGTTATTTCCTAGCCTATTTATTACCTTAGAAAGCCAATTAGGGCACTAGTCTGTTTTAATTATTATGCTGCAACATAAAAAACAGTGTCGCAGTAGAAAGTAGTTAAATCACAACCAAACCCTTAGTTCAGACTATCAACTTACAATGGACTCTTTCCAAAACACTCTTGGCCAGCAAACCAATATACTTGCTGCTCACAGGCTTCAGTTCTTTCTTGGATCTGCAATTATCGAGTCCTGTTACCTCGAATTTGAACCAACTCCTTTGCTTGGAACTCGAATATTAGATGAAAGGAATGTTTCCAGACTTATGAACATCTTCCAAATTGAAGGTTGCAGTAACCTTGAGCCAGAGCACAAAATCGCTGCACTAATAGACGAGCAAACATTTCACGCAGCTCTCTCACAATCAAATCTCACACTTCATCAACTAAGAGACCCAACAAATCAGCACTATCTTATTTTCAATACTGATGTTCGGCTAAACTGTATATACGGAAGACACCGTGTGTATGCTGCTGATCGGCTTGGTATAAGGACTTGGTTAGTTGATCTATATTCAGATGGTTAGTATTCTTATTTCTTTAGTGTGAAAAGGTCACTAAATCAAAACTTCAAAAGCTATATCACCAGAGACCTTAGTACAGCTAAGGGAGGAGTCAGGTAAAAGCTTGGAGTTCACAGATGGTGAAATATATCGTACCCTCAGACTTTATCAACTTTCTCAGAATGATATTCAAGAGAAAAGGTGGTGGGCAAGGCTGGCATCAAATGGTAAGAGGGAAGATATTAAGCGCTTACAGCTTAATAAGGATCTTCTTACTAGCCTTGATAAGTTGTTACCGTTTTTTGGGCTATGGAGGCCTCTTAAAACAACCCAGATTGAAAGGATGCTGGCATTGAAGTTTCCAGAAGTAAGTTTCCGCATGTGTGATCTAGGTGAAATATCTATATATATATAGATAGGTACTAACAAACCTAGATATTGTGCCAATACCTAAATGAAATGTATACAGGCTGGTCCTCTATATTTCAAGATCCAGCTGGATCATTTATAGATGCTGTATCAGTCCAGCTTCTCGAGGGCTTAATGCCCGAATCATCTCTATTAGACCGGGACCAGATTACGGAACTTACTCAGACAGGTCTGATATTTCCCCATATATCCGGGGTCGGTGAGAGAGAGGTGATTTTACAAAGTCTTCTCTCAATCCCTGGAAGAATTCTATCACTTAATACACTAGCTCGGGATACCTTATTTCTAGACGAGCCTGCCTGGGCCATCCGCCGTTTATTCCCACCCTTTAAAGGTAGAAGCCTTCATAAGGTGATGCTCTATCATTGGAAGTTTCCTGTTACTCTCGGGTTTCTAGATGTTCAAAAGTCTGAACATAGCTATACCAGAGTATCAAAGACAGTAAACTCGTTTACTATTTCTATGCTACAGCTTTGGCTCTTTGCAATTAGGCACTTTACCTACCGACAGCCCCGTTCTCAAGATAACCGGAAAGGATCTACTGAGGCTTTGAACCTGGGGAATCTTGCTCTTTTAGCACAACGTCTGGGCTTCAAATCAAATCAAATCACCAACCTTCGAATTGAGACCAGCAGCAGAGTCATAGCAAAGGATTTCCTGTCTTCTTTATGTAAAGAGGCATTCTATGAGATCCAAGATTCGAAACTACATACAGCATCAAGACAGTTACAAAGCTTCCTACGTACCATCCCAAAGGGCCAGGAACAGGCGATTGATAAAGCCCTCTATGTTACAGACCATAAACCTGATATGGCCAAACGGAGGTTCAACCGACCAACGCGAGAGCAATATATGCAACAAAGAAAGTACCTCTTCTTTCATCATATATTTGACTTAGACCAACCACCTTCTGAAAGTCCTACGGCTATTGGTGTGATGAGAAATATCTTATTCTCATTCTTCGGCTATGAGTTTCGAGGTATTCTGACAAACGACCCAGAGTCCCCTAGTGGTGGACTAGGTGTTCGGATTCCAGATAATACAAATCCAGACTCTGAACACAGTATGGATACATATAGCGGAGCTTTAAGGGAGCCTTCCCTAGCTTCAGATATGAGTCTAGATGAGGTGTCTTTGGAGGTACACCAGGTTGGGGCTCTACAGGTTATAGAGCCTGAAGCTGGTAGCCCATCAAGCGAGTACTCTAGACTTCAGTATATTGCAGATCAGCGAGATACTTCAGTATCTACACCAGATGTAATGTTAGAGACTCACCCAACTGGAAGTCCTGAGCCATCATTACCACTTGCTCCGGGCTTTGAAGATCTATCTTCCATCTCCGAGATGGAGCGTGAATCGTTTATATCTTCATCAAGGTCGGCAAAGGATATATTTCACCTTTGGAATCAGTCACAGAAAGAGGTTATTGTCATTTGGATGTTTGAAGCTAGGGCTTACTATAAGTTCTTCCTCGGAGGAGGGCCAGCACTACGTTCCCTTCTTGGTAATCTCTCTAGGGATCATGTTTTTCTCCTCATAGACGATTTTGGCTTAGGGATACCAGACATCAACCAAACATATACCAGAACTTTGGAAGAGCGATTATTGATTGTTCTCAGACGAAAAAATCCTTTTAGCAGGAGTACAGGGGGCCCTATGGCTGAGAAAAATTTAGATGATCTTAAGGACTATGTAAGAAAATATGATACAGCCCTTGGGAAAAGAAAGATAGAAGAAGAAGACAGCAGCCAAAACACAAAGCGCCAATTGTACTTAACATATAAATAGTTTAAATTTACTCTTAATTACGTGAATAATAAACTCTTTCTGACTTAGAAAAAGTTCCCTAATTGGGCACGTTGGTCAATCCATGAGACCATGACCTAATTATCAAATACCTTATTAAATAAATCAACAAATATATTTATATATTTTCTTCCTATCTTTGGTGACCATGAGTTTGGTATAACTATCTTATTTTTAAAATCATTATAGGTGTTCATTTCAAATTGAGGTGACGCTGGTCACACCCATTAAGATCATTCATCATTTTTCATGTGAATCTTGATTCTTATGATTTCAAGTTTCTTACTGGTGGTTTCATTATGCTAGGAATCTTATAATTTTGGGATGATGGTGCGACTTGGTCCGCTCCGTCAACTGCGACATTGTTTATGACACGAAAATCTATAGCGGCCGATATCGGCTGCCACAATACGTCAGTGTTGCTGCGACATTATTTATGGCGCCATGAACTGTAATCTCGATTATGGCCAGTACACTGTACTTAAAAACTAGCACCGGCACACTCAATATCAATTATTGTTATAATCACAGATCTTATAAGTCATTAGTCAGAAAAGACATAACTGATTATCTATTACTATGGGTCAGGAAACTAAGAAGAAGTCTCGAGATAAGCGTCAGAGAGACGCACGGGAGATACAAACGCCGGCCCCCGATGAAGACGACTTTGACTCGCCAGCAGAGCAATCGCCACTAGAGGAATCACCACTAGATGAATCACCACCAGCTGGAACCTCTTTAAACGATCCACCACAAGCCACTTCTTCTATACAGGAATCACCACTAGCTACATGGGAGCCAACACAGCCCACACCAGAATCACCATATATCGGACCCTCAACACAAATATCAACACAGGCCACCTCGTCTGCACATAAATCTTCCTTGTCCGGGGCTTCTTCACAGGATACTCCACAACCTGGATCTTTAGGGGGAAAAGGAAAGGCCCCAGAGCGGAAGATCAGGTTCGCTAGAAATCAAACTGAGGAAGGTGACTTCGCCCCGAACGCAGGAAGTTATGACTCAGGCAATGAAACGAGTTCCGATGGCGAGCTTTCAGATACAGGCGATCAAATGGACGAGGACAAATTAGCTCCAATCGGTTCCTGGGTTAGAGAAATCATAAAAACCGAAACTTCGAGACAGTCGCAAATAATGATCGAAAGATTCTTTCATACTGATCAACCTCAATATGATCAGTGTCTGAAATTTTTTCAAGGGCTCAATGCAAAAATCCGGAAAGCCAATAGGACAAATAACGTTACAGATGTCAATACTGGCACCGTCCCAGAAAGAGGATATAATGATATATTTCGAACTTGGCATCAACAGGCTAGAAATACCGATACAGCTCAACAATTCTGGCTCGACTTTGGAAATACCCAGCTTTTGATCAAGCTCTTTAATCAAAGACATCATCTTCCTTGGGACTGGAATATGAAGCAAGAATGGGCTATGAATTTTGCAGATAGCCCCCCTGAATTCACGGAGGAAATCTTTTTCATTAGTGATAATGAGCAAGCTGATTTTTCATCTGTTAACAATAACCAGGGAGATCTATCAGAAGAGTCAAACAGTGAAAGTGATACTGGGATTGAGCTAACAGGGCTTGATGCTCTAGAGGCAAGAACTATAAACCAACAGCGCCGACTAAGTTCAGCTAAAGTTCTGTATTGGTGGCCTAAAGGTACTGGCTCTCAGATCTTTGTACGCTATGGAGATCGGTCTGTTCCAATCTACCGTATTCGCGCTGGCTCAACTGAGAGCTCTGATCCTAGCAAGGTCGAACGCGTTTTAACAACAAAAACACGCGGTACTGCTCGAATTGTGGAGTCAATGGACGGGAACCAAGAGGAAGTTTGGATGTATACCCGACAGAATGTGGAAGATATCATTGGTATTGGCTGGAAAGTCGAAGATGATGATGAAGATGGCCTTGATCCTCTTGACTTGATTGAACCCGCAAAGAATGCAATCTACCCACAGACTCGTATTCTGGTTAAATGGAGAGATGGTCTATCTACACTTGAAGGACGGTCATTTATTCGTCGTATTACTAAAGGCCCGGCCTTGGATGGTGATAAGGTTATATATCAAAAGGCTGAAGAATCAGAGCTCTCTTATCTTGAGAAATATGGGGTAGAGGTAGTAAATGATGATGCTACTGATAATGAAGAGAGTGAAGATGGTGACGACGAAAGTGATAGTTCCGATGAGCCCACAACTATTCCAGGTCAGAGATATCGCAGCAAACACACTAACCAACAGCAAAAACTTCGACCTCACAATAAGCCAATACAAAACCTCCGCCCAGTTACTAAAGGTCATAATAAGCCTATGCGAAATGCCCGGCTGGTTGCTAAGGATCGCAGTGATGGACACCATAAGGAGCCTATGAAAGATTTCCGCATAGTTACTGCTGAGAGTTTGGATTCTTCAAGTGAGCCCAGTCGTGGCTACAAGAAAAACAAAAGCAAGCGTGGCCAAACATACCGCAACAACATAGCTCGCGATCCGGCATATCAACAGAAACCTTCTGAGGTAATAGCATCTACTAAGGTAGAACAACTTCAGCGCGAGATAAGTCGTTTAAGGCTTAAGAATTCGGAATTGTCTTATCATGCGAATAATAGACGAGTAGCTAGAATGGGTTAAATGTTTAAAGCATGTGTTTATATTTTTTTTTTTTGATTTTCTGTTTGATTTTCTGTTTGATTTTCTTGAGTTTTTAGTTAGGTTTTCTTCAACAGAAAATTCTATATTTATGCGATAATGCGAAAGTGAATTCTCCTTATTTATAACTCAGGACTTCAGTAATAATAATTTATGTATATAATTTATGTAGAAGATAGTAGATAAGCTAAATCCAGATTCATGAATTAGTAGACTAGAACCAAGAAGGGTAAAGGTGACCTGAAAACCAACTATGGGGGTTGTAAGCGTGGTGGAAAGTAGCGATCTTGAAATCTGACCGTGATCTCTGCAAAGATTTTCAGTCTTGGCATTGCAGCCTTGCTGCCTTAGGTCGGCGGCCCATCACCTGACCCTGGCCCTGGCTGTATACTCGAGTCTAGAAGTTACTTGATCTGCATGCCCTGCTTCTAACTTCATATGCATATATTCTGACTACATGCAGTTATAATTGTTTGGTCATGTGAGCTTACTCTCACTCCATCTTCTCTTGATAGCTTGTTCTCTCTTTCTCTTCTTCCTCTTCCTTCCTTGCAAGTTGCAGGCTGCAGTACTCTACTACTCAAGAGTCAATATTATCATATTACGTCCTCGCCCTCGCCCTCCTTCCCTCGTAGACTCGTTCCTCGTGTCTCTTCAACCATCTCTTGATATCAAGGTAAATTCAAATTCTCTATTCCCTCTCTATACTAATACTTCTATCATAGATGTCTTCTCCCTGGGCTAGCCCTGGTCCCCGATATCGTGACCACCTTGATATCGTTCAATATCTTCTAGATAATTACCGCGCACTTGCGATATCAGCAGGACAGGACCCACAAACCGATGTGATGTGCATTAGCTATGCTCGAGACCTTCGCCGCGGTGCCCGAACCCTCCTTTCTCGACTGTTCACAGCGGATAATATATTTTTCGCCAATATGCCTCAGTCAATGCTCTGGGTGGGCGGCCCCCCTAGTAGCTTGCTCAGAACTATAAGCAGCTATATCAACCAATCTACCGCCCAAAGCTTTTGTGCTCCTCCTTGTGTTCCCTGTCTTATGGCACTTTTATCCGCGCCTGAGATTCAAGCCGATGCGCTTGATGAATGCCTACACAGTGACCCTTCAAATCGCTGCCGCGGATGTTGGAATCAGAGCCGAGTATGTTATCGCCTTAACTCCTCCATATCAAACTCTGTGATGGTCACACTCACTACCGCATTCCGCTCCGAGCTGCGTAACAGCCTCCCCGCCCTCTCTAGTCATGACGCCCGCCGAGCTTTGATTCTTGCTATGTACTCTGAGCATCGCCGTGCATCCTGGGCAGAATATCTCCGCTATTCCCCTGGTACTGGTGCTGAACCAGTACCGCAGCCTGGCTCTGATGTCGAGAAACTGGTCTCGGAGCAAGAGTGTCGTGAACCACGATTGGTAGAGGAGGTTAGTGATCACTGATGAGTAGTTTTGAGAAATAAAAAATAGATTTTCAAGTATTCTTGAAGCTTTATAGTAATTTTAGATCTAAAATTCTATAGCTAGTTTACATGTATATTATATCATAATATAATAAGAAGAAGAAGCTATATTTATATATGTTTGTTATCTCTTATCTCCATATCTGCTTTTTAGTTACATCAATTGATGAAAATTATGAATGATAGTCTGGTTTTTATATAGCTTCACTCTCAAGTGCTCTATTAGATCTGTAACTGAAGTCTGCCCTGGCTGTCAGGTAGCAACGGGTCCTTCCTTTTCTTGGTCTTTTCCTTCTGTGCTGCTTCTTTTTATACAAATCCTCGAGCTTCCCCCCCTCCCTTTGAGCACATCGTACTTGTATGGACACGAAGACGTTTTGTAGTTGCTGTCTCTGCTCCACATCGTCGTCTTTTTGCGGCTTGGAGTGGCTGCCGATTCGGTCGGCAGTTCAAAGTAGAGCGATGGAAGTCAATGATCAAAGCTCGTCCTAGCTCCTTATTCCAAAGGATATTATCACGCCGAAGATCTTCGTGGACAATTCCGAAAGATTTTATTTCCTTGCAAGATTTGCGGATCTGTTCGCGAAGCCAAGGTGAGAGCTCCATCGTAGATATGCTTTCGCCACCCCATCCCATGATAAGCATATGACGGATTTCCCCGGCTCCATGAAGAAAGTAAACTTTCACCAAGTCAAGTGTGCCCAAAAAAACGGGCACCGCCGACCCTTGAGCTTTCCGCAAGATTTGGTACATCAGCGCTTCCCCGGAGACCTCTTTCCACAATTCCGATGTGGTTCCTTTCCCGATGACAGTATAGCCATATGCGGCACAGGTCAATTTGAAGGGAGCACCATATGATCCGCACCTTCCAAAAGGTATACATCGGTCAATATTTTCGTCTAATTCTGCTTGAAGTAGGTTTACCAGATCCTCTGATGTGATGAGATGCTTCAAGCTATCTCTGCCTTGACGATGGAGTATTATGTTTGGGCAATGGTCATCCAAAATGCCTCTAGTTTGTAGCCCAAGAAAACAACGCTATGTACAGAACTGTGCATTGTGGCGCCGTAACTGACTGCCTTGGTTTTCACTAGACTCGTGACGAGTAGCTTATCGGGCAGACGGCGAGGACATGACTTCACTGAATCCACGCTTCCTTCCTGCTGTGTGATTCGGATCGGAGTCAGATAGCTCTAGTAACTAGGAACGGTGTTGCTTATCAGGAGGTGCACAGGTAGCCTGAGATCTGGTAGGCACTCGACGGCCACCTGTTGCGGTCGAATCTGGTGGAGATGACGGTAGCGCGTAAGATGAGCCAGATTCTGGACTTAGGAAGTCTATAGTTGTACTATCAGAATTTATAGTAATCTGCTGGAGTTCTGTATTGGAGAATTGAGAACGAGTGTGGTCAAAACTAGTCTCCCAAATACGAAGATCAGGTCGCACAGAATTCCTCCATTCCTGGCCGCGCATGGGTGAGTGGAAAGCCATCAAACATAAGCATAGAGTCCGTGCAACGGAAGTTAGGGGCTGCTGGAAAGAATTCTCGTCTTCGGAACATATCCCGCTGTTGGGATCACACAAAAAGTATTTGAGTGTACTAGGATCACTGCGGGGAACATAGAGGAGAACCCGAGCGATCCCGTTGGTCACATAAGAAAACTCATGCCCTTCTTGAATCATCACATGATACTCCTAGACAATGACTGCCTACTAGGTAGGCGAACGTTGGCGACGTAAATACATCCTTCAGCGCCTCTTCCCCGGTTCTTACAGCTAGTGCATGGACGCCCGTCCTGGGAACACCTAATCCTTCTCCGACATTCTTCACAGCTTATAGGAAGACGGTTGGTTGGCTTCCGGGCTGATGAGGAGGAAATCATTTTTGGTATGAAAACAGAATCTTCTAAGTTCAATGTTTCACGATTGGGTGCTCCACGTGAAAAAATTTGAAGGATATTCTGAGACACAGAGAGGCCCTGAAGGGGAGGGGGATTTGTTGCTACCTAAAAGGTAAAAGGGGTGAGTATTACTTAATTGAAAATCTTTACTCGGGTAATGAGTGAACTTAAATAGTATCAATTAAGAGTATATATCTTGCTATCGCATCATATTAAGTTTTGACTAGGCTGACTGTTTCTTTCCTTCGATTCGCTAGATTTCGGTTAATAATTTTACACCTAGCATTCTTGTTCTTTTAGGAATTCATCATCTGAATACTTAAAGGCATAAATTCGACAGAAACATCACATTGAATCGTTCAACTCTAGCATTCCTTGCCACCTAGAATCCCACTGCTCTTATGCAGAAAAACAAAAATTTGAAGTAGGTACAGACTTTTGGAACCCTATGTAGTATAATATGGCAAGTGAAGATATAATAATATTATACTAAGGTCCTAGAAACTTAAGAAAAAGACAGATAGGAGAGAAAAAGAGAAAGAAAGAAAACAGGAAAGAAGAGTCAACCTTAAGTACTTTAAGGTTGACGACAGGCAATACAAGCAACAGGACATGGAGCGTGGAACAGTGTAGGTATAACCATGATCTTGGAACCAGGTTGGTTAAAGCATCTCCTCATCATCGCTTTCGCCATCATCATCGCCATCATCATCGCCATCATCATCGCCATAATCATCGCCATAATCATCGCCATCATCATCACCATCGTCATCACCATCACCATCATCACCACCACCTCCATCATCGCCAGACGGGCGGAGTAAGGCATTAGGGAAACCGGGAAGGGTCACAAGCTCCCCCATCGCTGTCCAAGGATGTCCAGTTATCCTCATGCACCTCCCAAGTATGATAACTTCGAAGAATTCTCTTCCAGGTTTTCCTTTTTCCCCGGCAATGCCTACTTTAACATAGCAGCAGGTCCACTTCTTGCTAGCGTCCAAATGTTGCTTGTCGCTAAGCAATTTCAAAACATGGTGTTGCAGTATATCTTCAACTGAAAAGAATTGATCTCTTGCAGAAAAGCACATTGCACGATGCAAAACAACGCTTTGAAGATATTGTTGCCGTGCAGGATTGTGATATCTTTCTGCTGGGTTCCAAGTTTCGACCATTTCACCTCCGTTCTCGTGACAAACTTGTGATTTCCAGAATACATAATGCTCCAAACTCGAGTTTGGGTGTAGAAGAGGGTCCATTTCAAGGTTGAAGGTGGCTGGGTGTTTGCAGGTCGAGATCAAATGAAGAGAAAGATCTAATGCTTCGTTCAAGGTTGTCTGATATAGAATAGTAAGTATTCATAGGCTTTAAATAGATACTCCAATTGATAGATCTCTCCATAGACTAAAATTATACTAAGCATACCTTATAATAAGAACAGATCAAGAGTCCTTTGGGTATAAACAACGTTTGACGATTGGGTGCTCCACATGAAAAAATTTGAAGGATATTCTGAGACGTAGAGAGAACCTGAAGGGGAAGGGGATTTTATACCAATAAAAAGGTAAAAGGGGTCAGTATTCCTTGATTGAAAATCTTTACTCGGGAAATGAGTGAACTTAAATAGTATCCATTAAGTTTTGACTAGGCTGACTGTTTCTTTCCTTCGATTCGCTAGATTTCGGTTAAAAATTTTACAACTAGCATTATTGCTCTTTTAGGAATACATCATCTGAATGCTTTAAGGCATAAATTTGACAATATTCCAGGGTTTTCGAAAGTTGCTGGACTAGAGATGAATTGACTTCGATAAATCGATTCTGGGTATCCTTGGAATTATCAGGGTCATTAATACTCATTATGCAGTTTTTTTCCGGATCGGGATTTACTAACTATAATATCATTAATTATGGATATGTTTACTGTTTTTAACAAATCAAATAAGAATTAAGATCAAAGAATAAAACTACTTGATTTTTCATCATCAATTTACTTTAAGACTATTACGTGAAATCCACATAAGTTTCAACCTTGCATATATGAACGTATAATGAATACTAGGTGAAAATGGGGAGTATTCGGACCCTAGGAACCTTCTTACTAACTAAAGATATAAACTAACTACCTGAACTACAGATTCAATAAGTATATGATCTATCTACTTCGATATGCTGAGATTCTGAAAAGCTGAATGTGTCTTATAAATAATAAATTATTAGTATATTTATATATAATTAGTGTGGGAGATAGATCATAGGGGTAATGGGATAGGAAGGTAATTTGAGGATAGTCTGATTCTCTGATACTATCAAAATAACAAATTCACTAAGAATACTCATATTTCCTGCATATCTGTTATAAAACTTTCCAGCATAATTGTCACTTGATCAAGCTTTGCTGCCTTTGTCTGAACAATCAAATCCGATACATCAAATGCTTCATTACCAAGTGCGAGGATTTTCCCAGTCGTTATTTTTTCAATCATGGGTTGGGTAACGCTCCATCTTGAGTCATGATTTAAGACACGACCGCATGCGATTTCCACAATGTCATTCAGAAGATCCTGAGAGAATTGACCAGTTACCTCTGAATTATTTGGCATCTCCTCATGTCGATTTTGTAGGATAACCTCGAGTATTGGGACAACTTTCTCATCCATCAAAAAGCTTGTTAAAGATGCGGCGTCTTTCCAAGTCTTAAGATCCACACGTATGTTTTCCAAAGTCCACCGAACTGTAGTAATACACAGTCGATTTGTTGCTTCCACCAAGAATCCAGAGGGCGGTAGAGAACCATGCTTGAGAAGCCAGTTTAGCATAGCTTCGGGATCTCCCCTAGCTATAATCCCAGTCCAACCAAACCATTGGCCGTGGAAAAATCTCGACAGATCGAAACTTTTGAGATATAGCTGATCCGCTAGCTCAACATCAACAAATCTGCAGATTCTTTCGATATCGATCGGCTCGATGGGAGGTAAACTCATATTTTGGAAACTCTCCCAATATACTCGAAACCATCTTTCATTGACGATTGAGAGCTTGAAAAGCGTCAATCGTGGGAGTGAAAAGATTTGAAGAGGTGTTTCTCCCATTTTGGCATTTGGACTGGTAAAACAAGCAAAGATGTACCCCCTAGTATACTCCTGGCCATTGATGAACTCATAGCACAAATCGCAGTTAAATGAATCAAGCAGTCGCAGGTCGTTGGAATAATTCTTGCTGCTGAACATATTCACAATAGTGTCTTGACTGGTGATGACATTCTTTTTTATATTCCATTTATCGCGCAATTTTTCCATAAAGGAGGAACCGTGCAGAAGATCTGCGATATGAGGATTGATAGGATGATATTGATTCTGTATCTCTTGTAGCATATGTATGGCACTATGCTGACCGAATGGCTGGGACAGAGCTTGAATAACTGTCTTATTCACTAGTTCCCATGGTTTTTTGTTGCTTTTCCATAGATCAAGGCTATCAAGTAGCCTTTCGGAGGCAGTGGATAAATCCATGATGTAGAAAGATTCAAAAGATTGAAGTAAAAGCAGAAAAGACTTGAGAGGTATGTGGGAGAAACAAGAATGGTACAACAGTCGATGGATCTTAGAGCCTTTTATAGTTACAGTTTATATATATAGTCACTAAATAGGTTAACAGAAACTGAGAACCACTCAAAATAACTCTTTCTCTAGATAGAACTGTACAGAAGTTGCCAAACACAGGTCCATAAGTCCTGAATTTCAATTTAGCTAAAAGTCAATAGGAGTTGGGCTACTTTCTCCCTGCAAAAAAACTATTAGCCACATTTTTCACATTCCCCATACACAATAATTTACTAGATTTCATCCTGTAGTAAGACTCATATTCTCTACTTAGTAACTACACAATAATATCAAACTTGTGATCTTTGGAATTTGCGGTATACTAAAATGCCTCTTTGATCCGAATCACTTAGTAAACGCTCTAATCTCTTTCTGGGGGATCAGGGAAATTTTTAGATGGTAGATGTGTACCCCTTTTGGTGTTTTTAGTTTATTCCCTTATGTATTGACTGATATTCCTGTTAAGTAAGAAAAATAGTTCATATTTTATATGTTTACGTCTTACGTCAGTCTATTTACATTTGAAACTTGCTTGCTAGCTAGCTAGAGATATAGAATGTAAGTAAAGAGTTTGTCTGAAGTATGTTATGATATGAACTGTCTGAAGTAATCGAATAAAGTAATTCTGTCTTAAAGAAATGTTGTAAGGCGCTTCATAAAAGCAGGCAAATCAGAGATATCAATCTAATATTAAAAAGCAAGTCTATATAACCGGAAACAGTCCATTCAAAGATAAAGCTAAAGCTAAGAAGAAAAGGAAATAAAAGGGCAGGAAGGAAGAAAAACAAAAGGAGTAGGCTCATCATCACGTAGGCATGTATATACATATGATACCCTTCATGACTTTGGTCAATAAACCTGCGCTAGAACTTCAAAGGAAGAAACCAAAGAGTTCATCTGTGAGAGCTAGATGTCTCATAATATGATCGAAAATTTGGGTGCTAGGTTCAGAAGGACGGGCACAGGCCAGTAATGCACAATCCCGCTGCTCTGCTATGCTTGTACTACGATCCAGTAGCCAACATGCGGCCTCTGGACGTTCATTCAAAGTAGCAAAGAGAGCTAGAGAAGTAGAGTTATTTTGATATGCTGGCCCATGTCCTCTTTCTTCCAGCCAGGAGAAAACTTCTGAAGAGCTTGGGTTTTTGAGAATCATATTGTGCCAAAACGACAAACCATAAAGCTCCACCAACGACACAAGATCGACCCCTCGACAAAGCATTTCACTAGCCAGCTTGTGAGTGGCAAAATGACTAATTTTGTAAAGAGTATCAGGGTCCATTGCCTGAGTAATATCCATTCCTGATAAGCAAATCTTTTCCCAGCATATGTAAAATAGACTTGGGTTTCTTGCTGCAAGCTGGAAATTTGACCAGCCCTCATGATTTTTCGATGCATATGCAGGCTCGAGGATATGCTGAAGAGGCATATTGTGTAGTAAAAGCTGAGCTATGATCAGCTCTGGCTTGAGAAGTGAGAGGGAAAAGAAGCTTTCACCATTACTACTATAGTAGCATGGACTGATCACCCCCATTTGAAGTAGAAAACTGAAGCAGTCTACACAATCCCTCAGACATAATGAAGCAGGGTCGCAATCTCCTGCGGCATTTTCTATATCCTTCAGAGCATCGTCATAACTCGCGTATATCTTCCATTTATTTTTAAGCAGAAAGTGCATGAATTCACTTCCTAACACATTTTGAATGTCGTTGCGAGTGGTATGATTGGTTTGAGGGTTCTGCTGCACAATTAGAAGCGAATGAATAATTCGGTGTGAGGAGGCTTCATCTGGTACAGAGAGCAGGTCTCGATATACTGGGCATAAAAAACCCAGTTCCCAATGATCAAATATATGAAAATTTTGTTTGTCAACTATATCAAAGACAGACAATGTTCGTGCATTGTACATGGTATTGGCTTTAAAGGAGGATTTGAAATGATCTCAAGTAATCTTTGGATGGACATGGAGGAGGGGACTTTTATATTGCGCAAACAACGATCATGTGCCCTACACCATTAGGTGTCACTAATCAAGCCATTGTAAATAGCATTCAATAACAACATAGCCTTGTTCATCAAAGACTTCAACATCACATTGAATGCTTCAACTCTAGCATTCCTTGCCACCTAGAATCCCCCTGCTCTTATGCAGAAAAACAAATTTTGACATAATATCCATATTGTTGTGATGCCGGAAAAAGTAACCTCGCGACTGATACTTTCGGTCAGTGAGCCATTTTAGAGTTAGGATAGTTCAACATACAGTTGGTAGGCTCTAAGTTAGTCCAAGGTAGATAGTGGACGTGGTCTGCGATTATTCGACCTGTAAAACAGGGACATAAGACAGCAAATAACGAATACGTAAAATGAGAGCCAGAGGTACGGGACAAAGTCAAGGCTCTCAAGAAAGGCTTCCATCGCTAATCAATAATTTTTTCTACTCATCTACCCTTTCCTACTTCTTATACTTTTCTAAAAATTAAATAAAGGTTATTCCAAGCTCTTTCAGCTGCATTAGCAGCCAAGAGCGTCTCCGATTATCCAGACTAGCCAGGATGTGATCCAGAATAAAACTATCTTTCTATTACTGACGAAGTCTGAAGTATAGAATCCATCGAACTAAACACAATTAATAATTGATTTCATTTGCTCTCCAAGGAAAGTCTTGCCAATATACCTCAATAACGAATCAAAACACCTAAGTTTCAGCTCCCAAGGTTCAACTCCCAAGGTTCAACTGCCCGGTAGCTGGATTTTCACGTTTTCTATAAGGGTCATAATTTAATTTGAATTCCATGTCTTAGTTCAATTAACATACCTTCGTTTCTTTTTTCATATCTATACTCCAGGCCCCTAACATTAAGCATACCTTGTATGCTTTGTCGCTCTGGTTTCGATAGGCGTTTCAAGGAGGCAAAGAGATTAGATAGGCTGGTAGGTGAGAGGTCACGAAACTCAAGAGGTTTGTCTATTACTAGATTAACAGAAGTCCGGCTTGAATGTGAATCTTCCTACCTGAGTTTTTTTGCATCAATTTGCATATTTCTCTTTGAGTTTTCAAACTTAGGCCCTTAATCACCTCTCGGTAATAGTCGTTCAATTCAGCAGTTTGGCTTAGCCGAACAGTTCTTGAGTTGGAAAGTGTACTACTCATGGTTGAGCTCTGCGTACTCAGAGTTGTCCAGAATCCAGGCCTTGCTTTATATATGTGTACGAGATCATAGAACAAGTGAGTGAAATTGGGCAATTAGCGGAGTTGTTCCTGTTGCTCTACTCCTTCCGTCGTGGCGAGCTTATTGACGGGAATATGCCGACAAAAGGACAGTGGACTTGTGTACTCCAAGATGTGGATAAGTAAAAATTGAAAGAAGCAAAATAATAAAGGAGAATTCTTATATACATAGAAGGCTTCTTTCTATAAAGGTATTTGTAAACTAGAAAAGAAATCGTACTCAAATCTTGATTAAGCCTCTTACATTACAAGCGGCAAAAGAACGGAGGTTATTTAGTAAAGTAACAGGAGTAGCCAAGCAACCATACGTATGTAGCTTTCGACCCTTTTTATATATAACACTTATTATATAGGTTTTGGTAAGGGTCCGAATATATTCTATTTTGAAGATTGATAAAATATATTATAGACAGAAATGTAGAGAACAAAGTAGGATATGGAAAGGCTAAATGAAAGAACTTGTCGAAGTCTAGAGATGATCTGCATACCTAGCTAGACTTTTACTTGACTCCAGAGGAAGCAAGCTTTGAGCTATCCTTCCTTAAGGAAAAACCCAATTACTATCTCCCCTCTCCCTATATTTGATATATTACTATACTTAACCTGGTGATGTGACTCTTCTTTTCCATTTAGAGACTACACCAGAATTGGTAATAAATGAAGGTTGGTGAGAAAATATTGGTATGACAATCAGTAGCATAAGCGAAACTGTTCAGAAAAGAGACCATTAGGCATTAGCTCATTGGAATCCCAATTCAGATATCCTCATTAAACCCAATCACTCTTTATATAAGTTCACAAAGTAGGAGAGCTGAGATAGAGTCTAAATTGATACGCCGAGCGCATCTACAAGCTTAAATGCCTTAGGCAATATTCATGCCATACCACACTAGCGGGTCCTGCATCACAGTCCAGGTGCACTAACCATCATGCCTGACGATGGCCACTAATAGTATTCAAAGTAGTTATGAATAGCGGTACGGACTAGACATACTCGATTAGTCGATACACATTGATTAAGGGCATTGTTTTCGTACTGGTATCAGATGACAGTCTCTTGTTGCCATTGGCGGTGATTATCTGTACCGGAAGTGTGCACGTTGGAAATCCGCCCTGGAGAATGGGTCGCAAAACCTCTGCTAGGTCAGTGTTTATATCCACAAGGTGTCCCTCATATTTACTTACCAATTCTTTCGGGCTCTTGAGATGACTTCATCAAAGGTGGTGTACAATTGAATGAATCTGGTATTAAGGTTACTGGCATCCTTGGTTGGTACCCTTCACCAAGTCGTGATATTGAAGCAGTGCGTTGGGGGAAGAGTAACCCCAATGGTACACCTCTTTGACGATAAGTTTCCCATATTTCAGAGTTTTGATCCGATACGCTTTTATCGAGAACTGCCTGTTCAATTTGTGTATCTTCTTCGAAATAAAAAGATAAGGTAGACTCTTCTGCAGTAGGCTCGAGCCAGCCAGAAAAGGACCAGTTCAATCCAGGGAGACAGCTCAATATACTCATCCTCAAGGAATGGGCAAGATACCATATGAATACTAGGCTTTAGTAATAGGGCTACTAGATGCCTTTAATACTAACCTAGCTATAGTTTTTATATACTAAGTCATACTAGAAGACAATTTATGACATCTTAGATTAATTAAGCAGCTGAACAAGGGTAGTATCTAAAAGTAAAATCAAGTAGATAAATCTTGTTTGCTATTTCCTTAATGACAGGTAATTTATGACAAGAAAATTTTAAGTACTATAGTAGACATCTGTCATCCTTGAAAAATCATTCTTAGGGAGACTTAAAGACCCAAAAATGCATGCAGGTCCTCAATTTAGAAAGAATTGGCGTGCCAGGTCTGGAACTGTGATACTTAAAATTCCAGTAAATCAATTCTATTAGACGGATACTGCGCCTCTAGATACTTCCTTGTGAACAAAGATAGGTACAATACCTGACTCAAATAAGGAGAGAAGAAAGAAGCAACCAATTCAAGTAATAGTATCGTCAAGTATGAAGGGGACAAAAGAAGGAACATAGTAGTCAAATCTAGGGGCCAGGCTTAACATGGAAACCTGACTGCTGAACAATAGTTACAGTAGAGGGGTGGATTTTCAATTATAGGTCGATGGTACTCAGAGACCGAATCTTACTGATTTCAGTCCAGCATTTAAAATGATTCAATATGCTAACACTATCAACCCCGTGTAGTGTTCTAAATCGGGCCTTGGTGGAAACCTGATCGATTGCCTGGCGGATCCTTGATCCCTAGGGTCGAAGCCGTAATCCCAGGTCACTGTTTCTCTTATTACCCAGGGCTCTGTAATCCTTTATATAATATAACAAGTTGATATATACTATTTGGAATAGCAGTTAAAGATAGAATAACAAAATGACAGTTAATATAAAGATATTTCTATGACTTCATATTATACAAATAAATCTCTAGCGCTTCCTTTGCAGTAGTGATATCTCCTCGCCAACAATCCAGTATTAGATAACCATGCGGGAGCTTGCTGACATCTGGATATTCATGGTTTTTGTATCGCCTTTCGATTTCAAAGTCAATCACCTCATGCTGTCGGTCCAAATGTGCCTTGACGACATCAGGGTCATTTGATTCCAGCATGTTTAACTCGCCGTATGGTATGTTACCAGTAACCAACTCATATAGGGTTGACCCCATGGCAAAGATATCGGAACTTTCAGTATTCGGTAGGTCATAATCCCGAGGTAAACAGTGTGATGCTTTTTCATAACCAAGAGCCGGGTGCCCAGGGCATTGGGCAAAATTGAAGTCACCCAAGCGTAGGTCGAGATTCTCGTCAATGAAAAATTGCCGTAGTGCCAAATCAGAATGGATAACATCAAAAGAGTGAATAGTAACAACCGCCTCGAGTATTTGGTGGAACCACTTCGATTGAAGCTCAGGTGTGATGGAATTTTGCTGGATATATGCAGCAAGGTCACCATGGGGGTAATATTTGATGTCGACATGCTGACAAAATTCATTATTGCCCATAGATATACACTCAGCAATACGGATATGGGGGCCAATAGTATCATATATCATGGCTTCACGCTGGATTGCTTGGATGTCGTTGTCGCTGCGAGGTAGCTTTCTGATAGTCTTTCCATCCAAGAGATAGACTTTAGCAGATATCCCGATAATCAAAAGCTGCGAGTTGTCTGAGCGGTCGATATCAGTGGCCGATGATGGTCGATTGAGCTTTGAGTTTAATTAGTATTGTTAAAAGGTAGCATGGTTTTTCACTCACAGGAAATACATGTTCTTCATCGTCCTTGAGTGCTCCCTGGCCCCCTGTTAAAGGAAATGCAGTAAGAATATGCCGATATAGGCATATCATGTGGGTTAAAAGCCTAGAAGAAATACACCGAAGCCAGTTCCACAAGGCTCTCATGTTGTTGGATTTAGAGATTTGGAGAGTAAAAGGCAAGTTGAAACTGGTATTTAAAAGAAGAAAAGGAGGCACGAATTTTGGTGGCAAATAAGGGGTTTGATTTCAAAGTAAGCTCACGTGATATATCATATGATGTCCGAACTTCGAAGTATCCCTTGTTATGTCAAATGCTAAGCACCTTTAGAAGTATGCATATTATGGTTTAATCAATCAAAAAAATCAAATCAAGTCCACAGAATACATCAAAAACTTATTGACCTAGAGGCTAGGATCTAGTTCATTGTAAGCCGTCTGAAAATTCGACCCAGTTAGAATCGGTAAAATAAGTTTTAGAATTTGAAGTACCTACCAGCCTCCAGGTGGCAGGAGTTCAGGGACCTCAAGGATAATCATTTCCTGGCCCATTCTGGTAAAGGAGTGTTCTTTTGTCGGCTCGAACCAGATGTAACCAATTTGTAGTTAGGGCAGTCTTCTATTTTGCCAGACGTAGGCTTTTTATCGCAAGTGACGGTTTCCGTCTCCTTCTTTGGCACACCACCGATCATTTTGAGGATGTGGTATTCGGTACACATTTTTATTTGAATGCTATCTGTGTATTAGATTCGGTATACATATTCCATGGATAATTGCGGAGGTAAATGAAAACTTACTAAAAAGATTGTAGGACAAGATGGAAGGTCAAAGGAAAGTTGAAACTGGCTCTGTGATCAGATTTTTGTGAATAACAGGTAAACTGTGATATTTATATTCCTTTATGGAGTTTTGATTACAAGTAAAGTACTTTTAAATGTTTACCATATTTGTTAATCAACATCTGTCTAAATTGTAGTTTTACTTATTCTGTCATGACTCACATGGCTTATGCATATACCTGCTTAATATCCATAAACCCTATAGCTAGATGTGATAATAATTGCCGAGGGCCCTTTAGATCATAGTTAAGGTTGTCTGCATAACTATTTTCTAATTTCTATCCACATTTTAGGCATATGAAAACGGCACTGTGACTCCTTGGAGAGCGGGGTAAAGGGTCTGAGCGGTGAGGGTATTAAGTGAAGGACGGGGCCAAATTATATAATCAAGAGAATATTACTCACCTAAGATAGGCAATAAATGATTGGCATATTTTGAGGAAAGTCAAAGGAAGGTTTACTCAAGTGCTCTCTACATATTTAGTGTCTGGGAGTTGATTCTAGGGGTTAGTATATAATACAAATTACGAAACATTTTTCGCGGGTTCAATGTTTAGAGGTATTTGTATTGAAATTTTGGTGCTCACCCGATCTTCCCACTTATAATAACTTGAAATTAAGATAGGGAAAAATAGATAGAGATAGAGAGGTTTATACTGTTTATACTTTAGCCCAAAAATAAGGTATTGATTATGTAGACACTCCCTAGTACAGTGAAGTGCCCTAATCCGAAGGCCGACCTGTTCAGAGGCTACGCTGGATCAAGAAGGTAGGACAATACAGATGGTATTTAATTATATAGGAATATAGGTGGTAGGAAATGGGGGGAAGGGAAGAAACAAGCGGCAGGTTGTTATACCCAGTAAGGAACTCGAGTTGCACAGACCGTTAGTAGTGGGACAAGTTTGGCCTGTAAAAGGATCGCTTTTCGCCTTCGGGGCGAAAAGGACTGTCTTGATTGGTTAACACTGTGGAGAAAAAGCTGGACACTGGCCTGTAAAAAGGTCGCTTTTCGCCTTCGGGGCGAAAAGGACTGTCATGATTGGTTAGCACTGTGGAGAAAAAGCTGGACGCTGACCTGTAAAAAGGTCGCTTTTCGCCTTCGGGGCGAAAAGGACTGTCTTGATTAGTTAACACTGTGGAGAAAAAGCTGGACACTGGCCTGTAAAAAGGTCGCTTTTCGCCTTCGGGGCGAAAAGGACTGTCATGATTGGTTAGCACTGTGGAGAAAAAGCTGGACGCTGACCTGTAAAAAGGTTGCTTTTCGCCTTTGGGGCGAAAAATGGCCCTAGCTAGGTATGGTCTGACTTGTTGATTTTGCTCGTGGATTTTGCTCCTTGAAAATAATGTGTCCTTGAAAATAATGTGGCCCCCTTGAAAGGAAGTGGCTCGAGGAAGAGAATTGGCTGTCTATAATTAATGTTTTGATGATGTGTATCAAAGAAGCATAGAGATGAAGAAGATTGAGTAGATGAAGAAGATTGAGTAGATGTGAGAATGAGTATAGTGCGGGATAAGAAGGACCAGGTAGAGGGGATGAGGAAGAAATTTTATCATAGAGAATAAGCGATGTCAAAGGGATAAAAAATGAAGTAAGGAGTACTGCTGTATAGTTATAGTGAGTTCACTGTACTAGTCAACAGATCACCTGACACAGACTCTCTGTCGGATGAATGGTTTATCCAGTCCGCACTGATTTAGCAGGACTTCTGGGACCTAAACTAGTTTAAACCCGGTTTTACCGCTTCCCCAATCTGGTCGCAACAGGGGGCCCAAGCCGTGGAAATCTGTCGCCCAGATAGATTTGGTACATAGGATCCTCGCATTCATACATGTTAAATCAACCGATATGTTTGATCACTTTGTTATGTGATCTGTACTCTCACTCCATCTCTTGTAGATAGCTTATTCTCTTCCTTCTCTTCTTCTTTCTTTCCTTCCTTACAGCACACAATACTATTATATTACATTCTTGCCCTCCTTCCTTCATAGACTCGATTCCTTGTGTCTCTTTATGATAAACCTCCTAAATTATAATTCTAGTATCCCTAAAAACTCTACAATCCCGTATAGAAGATCACCAACTTATAACGCCAGACGCCCTAGTAGTCTACCACCACAGATAGCCCTAGTTCCCTAGGCAAGCAATAATCATTCCTAGACAGATTTAGATCCCTGATAGAATTTATCCAACTTATGATAACAGATACCCCAATAGTCTACTACCTATAGATAGCCCTAGTTCCCTAGATAAGTGATTAATATCCCTGATAAGATCCAGACTTTTTACCTATACTATTTATATAATAACCTTGTACTAGGGTTACTAATCTGGTTTATTTTAGTTTATTATTCAGTTTTTAGATATAGTTTTACGATTTTCTTTTTTTTTTTATATAGGGTAACTTTATTTTTATCAGATTTCATTAGAATAGTTTATTTATAGCTTTATAATAGTATTTAGGAATTAGGGGTGGATTTAAAGTAACTATGCTTTCTTATTATCTTGGGTTTATAGGATAGAATCAGCTATAATTTAAACTAAACTTAGTTAGAATAAGAGATACCCCTATAGGACTCCCTATATTAGTTACTAATTTAAACTATCCTCTAGCTATAGAGATAGAATATGATAAATAATAAATTAAAATAATAAATATAGGTTAAATAATGATTAGGTAATAGATACTTACTAATAGCAGATTTAAAGTAGGTTTAAAGTAATATAAATAGGTAGTTTAAACCTAGTTTTACTACTTCCCTAATCTAGTTATAATAGTATTAAGTAATAAGTCCTCCTAATAAAGTTCTATATTATTATATCTTATTTATTTATACTTATAGTTCTTATTAGATAGTAATTTAGAGGGATATTTTTTTTTTTTATTTCTAATAATTATAATTAATATTTAAGACCCTAAGATATACCTAGGATCAATATTACTACCTAACAACTATATAATACTATTATATAGATATTACTAATAATTATCCTACTATTATCTTAATATTAACCCTACTATCCTCTACCTACCTATTTATAATCATTTTTATTAAATATCCCTCCTCCCTTATTACCCTTAATCTTCAAATTTTCCGATTTTCTCACCAATATAATTAGCTTAGTCTTTTATTATATCAGAAAAGCTATTAATAAAGCTATATCTATTTAAGGATAAGTTATCAGAGGTTAAAAATAATAAATAAAAGATATTTTTAGAATAAGCCTCCTTAATTCTATTTAAAAAATAAGGCTAAGATTTTAATATATATAAATCTGAAGAGCTAAACTATAGAGTAACTTCATTTTTAAATAACCTTAATCTTCCTAGAAAAGTATATAGTACTCCTTCTATCTTAAATTAGATATTTCTAATAAATCTTAGAATTTTAGGGATATTTATTAGTATAGATTATAGGTCTATAATATATATACTTTTATTATAGTATAGGTAATATACTTATTATTCCTATTTAAGTACTAGAAGGTAATCTAAAAGCTTTAGGGATATAGTTAGTTAAAGGGAAATAATGGTTTATGAAAAAAGAATATAAAATAAAAATTAGACCAAAATTATATTTACTATTTATCTTACTCTAGTATATAAATCCTAAGGCTATAGTCTATATATTTAATAATAGACTTTAAGGAAATATAAAGATATTTAGGCTAACTAAAAAGGATTAGGTATTTATACTTATATATATAAAAGAGAAACTATTTATATTTATAGGGATTTAAGTCAGATTATATAACTCTGTATCTATAGATAAAGATTATATTTAATAATCTCTAAGATCTTATATATTAGGATAGTTTATTACCTCTTAGGTATTAGAGAATAGAGTAGAGAAATCTATAAGCTTACTTAGTACCTCTAGGTTATAAGAGGGTAAAGTAGAGAAGTCTATAAGCTTAGAGTATTTAGTATATCCCTAATAATTTCCTTCTATAGATAAGCTAGGGTTTATAAAATTATATATTAATCCTATATTCTTAAAAGGTATAGATAGGAGTTTATATTTAGCTTATATACTAGCAAACTATCCGGAAATTTTATATAGTATAGAATTATAAAATTAGTTATTTATAAGCTTATATAATATATATAGAGAAATTATAAATGGTCTTAGCTCTATAGTAGGGATTACTTTAAATTTAGTATAATTAAATATTATAAATAGAGTAAAAACCCCTATGATAAGATCTCTTTTCTTATTAAGTACTTATTTAAGAAAATTAAGAAAGAGAAGCTGATTAACCCCTTAATTAATTATCTTACTTAAAGATTTATGGTATTTCTCTAGGTAGTAATGAAGGCTTCTTATAAATCTAGCTATCTTATTACCCTATTTTAACTTTTTCTCTTTTTTAATCTGTGGGAGAAATCTACTAGATTTCTCCTACTCTATAAAATTTCGACTTAGAGATAGTTAAAGGAAGGATTATAAAAGCTACTTCTCTTTACTAACCTAAAGGCTAGTATTGCTTAAGATATACAAAACTTCTATATTAAGTATTGGCTTATTTATACCTTACTTAGTTTCTAGTATTTGGGTAATGGAAGTATTGGTTTTGTAAAACTCTGATATATTATATAATTTTTTAGTTATTAATTTAAATGCTTTGGTATACTTTTTGGTGATTAGATTTTCTAGTTTAATCACTCTATCTTGTACTAAGTTATATAGGTAGTTCTGCTAACCTCTTTCTAGGGAGGTGTGTTATTAGGTGTCTTGAGGAAGATCTTGGGTATTATATGGGTTTGGCAGACTGTTTGAGGGACTGGTCTGGAAATCTTGATGTATATCTTGAGGAAGGCCTTGGGTATTATATTGGTTTGGTGGACTGGTCTGGAGATCTTAATGTGTATCTTGAGGAAGGCCTTGGGTATTCTGTGGGGGGTTTAGTAGATGGTTCGAGGGACTGGTCTGGAGATCTTGATATATGTCTTGAGGAAGGCCTTGGGTATTCTATGGGTTTGGTGGATGGTTTGAGGGATTGGTCTAGAGATCTTGATGTGTGTCTTAAGGAAGGCCTTGGGTATTCTGTGGGTTTGGTGGATGGTTTGAGGGACTGGTCTGGAGATCTTGATGTGTGTCTTGAGGAAGGCCTTCTTGGGTATTGTGTTAGTTTGGTGGACTGGTCTGGATATCTAGCTGGGTGTCTTGAGGAAGATCTTGGGTATTCTGTGGGTTTGGTAGACGGTTTGAGGGACTAGTCTGGAGATCTTGATGTGTGTCTTGAGGAAGGCCTTCTTGGGTATTATGTTGGTTTAGTGGACTGTTCTGGATATCTAGCTGGGTGTCTTGAGGAAGATCTTGGGTATTTTGTGGGTTTGGTAGATGGTTTAAGGGACTGGTCTGGAGATCTTGATGTGTGTCTTGAGGAAGGCCTTCTTGGGTATTATATTAGTTTAGTGGATTGTTCTGGATATCTAGCTAGGTGTCTTGAGGAAGATCTTGGATATTCTGTGGGTTTGGTGGACGGTTTGAGGGACTGGTCTGGAGATCTTGATGTGTGTCTTGAGGAAGGCCTTCTTGGGTATTATATTAGTTTAGTGGATTGTTCTGGATATCTAGCTAGGTGTCTTGAGGAAGATCTTGGGTATTCTGTGGGTTTGGTGGATGGTTTGAGGGATTGGTCTGGAGATCTTGATGTGTATCTTAAGGAAGGCCTTCTTGGGTATTATATAGGTTTAGTGGACTGTCTGAGGGAAGACTTTAGATGTTTAATTAAGGGATTTATTAGGCTCCTTGAATTTTACTTCTTTTTGTGGCTTCTCTGAATAAAGAGTTTAGGCTATCTTCCAACTCCTAGGCCTTTAGTACTTCCCTTATCTTTTTTAGAGCTATAAATATTAGCTTATAGTAGGTTCTGAAAATTTTACTTAGTGTATTAAAGAGAAGCTATAAAGCCAAGATAACCTTATTTTTATATATTATTATACTAATAAAATAATAAGATTAGATTAAATAAAAAGTAATAATAGTTAAGTAAGGAATAGGAGTATAGGAGTAAGTACTATATATAAACTAAGAGTGGGCTTAGGAGGTAGATCAAATTCCATTTTTAAAATCTATATTAGGATCTATATATAGATTAGGCCTATATAGGCTAGAGAGTATAATAGCTAAATTAATAATTTAATTAGTATAAAATATAATATATATATAATAAAAAAATCTATTCTATAATCATCCCCTACCTATTAATAATTAAATATTATATAGTTTCTTAACCTTTTATTAAAACAGGTTTATTATACTTTATCCTAGATCTCTATAATATCCTTCTTTTATCCTAAAAGTTATTTAGTAGGGTACTTATATACCCTCTAAGTTAAGGCATCCATTTATATATTATCTATAGAATATAGTAAAAATTAGAAGTTACCTAAAGAGTACCTAGAGAGTACATAATATAGGCTATATAAAGTAGTAGTTATTAGGAAGCAAGTATATATATAAAATATAGTAATTAGGTAACAATAATAATAATAGCAAGGTATACTAGGGTTATTCTAGAGGGACTATATATATATACCAAGAGGCTAGCTATTTAATATAGGATATGGTGGCCTAATAATATTCTACTTTTAATCATCCTAGAAGGTCAATGCGACCGGTGTATGCCAGAAGGTAATTTCTCACCCGCTCTCACCCCGCTTCTCACCCTGTCTATTGCGCACTTACCCTTCTCACCCCCGGTCGCGCGACGCTAAAGCGGCTCTCACCCATTTCTCACCCTGGCGACACCCACCGAACTACTGGCCGCATTTAAGCCACCCGCCGAATGGCCATGCTGGCCAATCATTTAGTCTAGCCCGGTGGGGAACAACCGGTCGCCGCTTTGCGGTCGCGCGACCAGGGTGATAAGGGTGAGCCCTTGACTTTACTACAGGCTTATTTAGTTGGTATTACTGTCATTTTGTGCCGGAGTTTCCCTCCGATTCATGTATACAGATCAGAAGTACATGTATTGGCAATATTTAAACGACTAAGTATTCTTCATAGGTCTGGGTTTTCAGATGGTCCAAAAATGCATTGGGCGTCTGCGTTTCAACAATAAAATCCAAGAATGCTGGGCCGACAAGTTGAAAAAAAAGTGGCTCCTGAGCTTGATTCATAGCCACCTTTTTACGCAGTATTAGCGGTTGCGATGCAGTGCTAGCCAGAACAACCAGGTCCCCATTGGACACCTTTAAGCCACTCACCCCGAGACACCGCCCAGATGAATTAGACGTGAGAAACACCGATTTACCACAGGTTCCTCCCAAAGCATCAATGACCGATGAAACGAGTTCTGTTTGCCAGCCTCTTTGAATATAAGAATAATGGGTAGATATCTCTCGAATTGCGCTCAAGACGTCTTCTGCAGCTAATTTAAGGCATTCGGGATCATGCATCAAAAATGAACGGATGATCCCATGATGGCGGGCTGAATCCCCGGGGTTTGAGACACTATCAAGGAACCTCGCAATTTGCAAAGCGGTCCCCGGCACGGTTGTATGAAAACGGAAAAGAACTCTGCAATTGCCTGCACGACGAGCCCAAAGGTGTAGCGTGGACAGATCTGGAGAGATGTAAGGCTGGTATTGCGCTTCCCATTCGAACAGAGACTTATCAGGTTTCACAGAGATATACTGTGAACCATAAATGCCTTCGGTTGTCAGGTCTCTGGTAAAATCAGGGACCCAGGAAGGAAGCAAATCAGCTGAGGTATTATCTTCGCGAACCACAAACGCATCAAGAGCCCTTAGCCCAAGCTCCTTCTCGATAATGTACTTTGTGGCCTCTTTCATCACCTGTCCCACAGATTTATCGTAGTCGGGTGGATATGCATTCCGCGCCGCTGGAGCCATTCCATATAGAGCATAGATCCTATCACGTGGATCTGAGCACTGGTGCCTGGGTGTTCTCCAAAGCAGCTGACTTAATTGACCGGTACGGTTTTGGTCATTGCCTCCGCGGTTATCTGTGTGCATTGTGAAACAAATTCCGCTATCCTCACTAATCAAATGAGTCGCGACCTTCTTGACGTGTTGATTTTTTCGATGTTCATGAGATTTCATTTGCGAGAACTGATCGGTGACACTAACCACTTCCAAAGTCAACAATTCACGTACTTGCTTGCTGATTATGCAGGCTTTGAATTTCAAATGACCGCAAACGCAAAGAGGTTCGCACTCAGGTAAATGATATTCCTGGTAAGTCCACAAACGAGTCCAGTACGGAAGAGCTGACAGTTCGACAGTGCCGTGGTAAGCTTCAGCAAGAGCGAGTTCCTTTTCTTGTCGGGCCTTCGCCGAGAAAAAAGCTTTGCCGTCAAGCCTCCACCAGTAGATCGTTCTTTTGTTGATCTTCTTATGAACATATCGCTCTGTCCAAGATACCATCCGCTCAATCTCGCGATTTGGGTTTCCGAGGAAGGAAATGACGCGAGTACATTTTCTGTATACAAGCGCCATCAAAAGAACCTGGCTGTTGCGTTCTTCTGCATTTCCTTGGTCAATGCAAATGAAGTCAATCCAGATCACCCGCTTGCGAAACCCATTTCGAAGATAGTGGAGTGCAGAAGCAAGGTTGGGAGTGACTTGAAATCTATAACCCTCGAGCAATATTTTTTCGGACGCCTCAGCACCTCCCCATACGTAGGATAGTGCCTCGAATTTGACAGGCTTCTTCAGAGATATGGTGCGTAAAGAACAACGTATCTCATTATCAAAATTTCTATCCGGATGGATAGTTAGAACTCGAACCTCTTGCTCCTGGACATTGAGCGGTTTGAATATGAGTTTCATCTCCATATCAGAGCCACAATGTGTATTTTGTGCAAGGAGAGTGCAGGGACGGGAAGATCTATTTAAAGGTAGTTGGGCGGTGGCGGGCCCATTTTAAGTACCCACCAACGTGATACTTACCCCTCCTCTTATAAAATCAAATGAACAAAATGTAACCCATCTAGGCATATGTGACTCAAAGTTTCTCAAGCTCGGCGGGCATTGATGGGCGGCCAAATATTGCTTCTTTTCTTCTATTTAGTCCCAGATGCGATTATCTGGAGATTTTAATATATGCGTTTACTTCTTGTTATTAGAGTCGACTTTATTCTTCTCAGTATTGATCATTCATTTGGAAAACATGTACATGAGACCCTTCACATGCTGTATGTTTAATTCTGGATTTGGCATTCAACTGCCGTCGTTCCCTCAAAATATGAGTGGCGTCGCTGTTTAAACTTGGGGACATTCCACACGGTCGCAGAGAACCAACGCTGCTTCCAGGAACAGTGCATGTGATGCCAGGAGCAACAAGGTTCCCAGGAACAAAGAACACAGTTCCCAGAGCCTTTTAAACCGTCTTTAGGATTGACGCGAGAGCTTCTGGGAACAGTGTTGCTCCTGGCATCACATATGCACTGTTCCTGGGATCGACACTGTGATCATGTGGATCCATCACCTCGTGCGAGTCCTTGATACTGATGGAACAGCCTCTGAAGCCGTAGATCAGGACTCCACCCAGCTGAACTGGTTCTAGGAACGCATCAGTAGGCCCCGGAGAAGGAAACCCGTGGACCGTCGCGAGAAGCAGATCCTTTGCCGGTCTTCTCCAGTAGGTCCACGGTTTTCCCTCCTTCTAAGCTAGCACAGGAATCTTTCCTGAGACGGGCCACGGTTTTTCCTCCTTATAGGAAGGGTATGTTGAATTATGCAAATGGAAAACGAAACATAAACAGCCATCTCAACTTGAATGTGACTCCAAGAGAACGCAAGCGGGCCTGTATCATGGTCTAGCTTGTAGAATCGTGGCCTGCCCTACGATACAGGCGTTCATGTGTTATTGAAAAGGACGAAAATCGTGGTCTATCCCACGAGGGATTCCATCAGAAGAGACATCTACTTGTGTTATCATGTAGCACGCCAGTGTCTCTTGTTCGAACCTCTCGTAGGACAGGCCACGGTTTTCCCCTCCTTCCTAGGACAAGCCACGATTCTACCTTCAAGCTATACTCTCTGTGTCTTTCTTGAGATACACCATTGTTTTTTTCTTCAATATATATCCTGTATTTCGTGAGACCGGCCATAGTTTTCCCTAGCTCTCAGCTAATGAGGACTTAGGTATCCCGCGATAAAGGTTATGGACCAGTGTTGGTTCTAAACTTCAGTACCGTGGTTTGTCACAGGAAACCAGTTATCTGAAGATACGAAAGACGGTGGCCTGTCGCAGGAAGTCAGTTATCTTGGGATATGAAGAACCGTGGCCTCTGGAGATGGAGTACTCGGAGGTAACTCTTCGGACATGTTTACCATATCATAGTTCAAAAACTCATCGAAAAATTCGGCAGGAAGATCTTCTGAGGTAACAACATAACGAAATCGTGCATCATCATCCACCATAGTAAGTAATTCTGCTCTCCAGTTACGGTACTCCAGACTCGTAGTAGATAGATTTAGGATGTCATCCAAAGTAAGACCATTGAAAGGACGCATGAGCTGGTCAATAGTCTAAGGGCACGATGCAGGTAGTATAGGAGGTAGGAAAAGGTTCGGAACTGGAAGAGGGTCAAAAGGATGTTTAGGTCTAGTAGCCGGATCATAATCTCGAAAGATATGTGGGTGAACCATCAGAAGATAATTCAAGCGATTACGATCACGCTCATCCATTGAGCTTCGGACAATGTGTAAATCTCTGGCCAATAGCTGACGGAGTTGGTGTAATGTAAGACCATTGCGGTATCCCGTAGGATGGAAGCGAGCCCGGAGTTCAGAATAGGTGTAAATAAGATTCCTCCTTTTAGTAAGAAGCTCTAGCATAGTAGTATGCCTGGTTGTAGCAACCAGTCGTTCTCGAGTAGCCGTGGCTTGTAGATCTGCTGCATTTGTATCCGCAATTGCCGAGGCTGACTGGGCATTTACATCCGCAGGATTAGCCGTAGTGGTAGCCCGAGCAGTGATAGCTTCAGCAGCAGCAGTTGCAGCAAGTTTGTCACGCTCTTCAGCGAATTCAGCAGCCTTCAACCACTCCATCATACTTTTTATTACACGGGAATCCCGTGTGATCCTTTGCTGAACCAAAATAGCCATTTGGGCGTCTCTCGCCTGAGCCGCCTCAACCCGTTCAGCATCAGTAACAGCAGCCCTTTGATCGGCAGCAGTATTAATAGCCGCCCGAGCTTGTTCCCTTGCAATCCGAGCAGCACTCTCAGCATCAGCAGCTCTCTTTGCTAGAGTAGCTCTCTAAGCATTACGCGCAGCATTCACCTGATCTGTATGAAGTTGGGTGAGGATAGCTTGGAAGTTATCACCAGGAAAAAGAGGTTCGACTGCTGGTGCTGGAGGGCCTGGTGCTGGAGGGCCTGGTAGTCCTCGTCGCACCTGGTTGTATTGGCCCAGGGTAAAGGGTATCGCTGGTACAGGTGGAGCAAGGCCATGCCGGCGTGCGGTATGTGTTGTGTGGGGGGTAGGAGGGACCTGGTATCGATGGAAACGGCTTCCCTATCTTTGACGGAAGGTGGCATCGTCACCCCTAAATCATAAATCATGATTAGTAAAAGAGTAGAGTGGGAGTGAAGGTAGACTTACGCGATCCGCTCAAGTCCATCACAGAAGTGTCCAATCAGATTTGTGTCAGGCCCTCGACCAGGCTCAAAGACATAAACAGCGTCGCGCCAGCCACCCGTGATCACCCATCGCATGATCGCGTTGCGTCCAGCGGTTATCTCATCGATGTCCTTTGCCTTCTTGGTAGGCATCAAGGCTGGATAAGATTAGTAAATGATAGAGATGAAGGTAAGAGACTTGATTTACCTGCACCTGCATGTTCCTGGCGTATATGCCGACGGAAGGCACCTTGATCCTCAAACACCTGCCCGCATATTGTCTGTCCATATCGAATGATATCACAGACCCCAGTATTCTCTTTGCTGATGGTGACCCTTGGATTGGGGGGTGCTCTTGTTGGATGAGCAGGGTCATTGCTGATGTCCTTGGCTTTGATCTGGTAAGGGCCAGCTCGAGGTTGTCGTGGGACACGGGCCTCTGGTGGAAGCCAGCCTGGGTTGTTGTTTTCGATTGGCCCTTTTCCAAATATTATGTAAGTAAATCGGTTTTCCAAGAGGTAAGTAGTCACATGACATACCATGTGCGTATCCCCAGACAGGATCAGGATGAGGAATATTTGGCTCTGACGCAACAGCGTCAATAAATGGTTGGATTTGTATGCCTCGACCTTCTCGCGTTGCAAGCTGGGACATATTGAAGAAGTTTGTAGATGTAAGAGAAAAAAGTTGATAAAAAAAGATGATAAATGATGGATATTGGTACTGTAAGATGTGGTTGGGGGTAAGTGATGAAGGTGGTTTATACTGGGTATATATATTTGAAATCCTTCAAGATATGGACAAACAAAATAAATTGATGGATTTCTCTAGCACTTCATGCATGTGTCAAACAATATCTGTACACCCAAACCAGCACTCAAGTGAGGGGAATAACTCTTTGACTACATCAAAGGGCTTTGCGACCAGCACACATTTTCCTGTTTGAATCAAAGGGTTCGGGGTCAGCAGTCGAGATTTCAAAGATCTACCTTTCTTTGGATATTCCATAAATATATGTGTGTGTATCTGAAGCCAATCATTTCAAGTCTGATTTTTTGACATAAAGAATCTCATGTATGTGTGATCTACTCAGCAGAAGCTCAGCAGATCAAATTTCTTTATCCTACTTGATCGTTTCCCCCAAAAGTTTCAAAAGAGGAATTAAATGTAGGCTGGGAATGGGCTTTCTTTGGGTCTTCCCCACTTCTATCCCACATTTATTTTTGGTGATGCATTCTTCCTACTTCCATTTACTCCACATGCATAAAGAGGAAAAGGCCAAATGTGAACCTTCCGCTTTTTCTTTATAGCTTACTTTGATCACCCCCACTCAAGGAACAATATGACTGGGTAATTCAGGAATTCAAAAATCTAGACCACCTTATGTACAAAATGACAAACTAGCGCCTTCTTTGTGCTGGGGTTGGTGTCTGGGGGAATGATGGCTGGAATCGATTATGACGGCGAGGTGTGAAGGGGGGCCTCGAGGGGGTCCCGGAGAGCGTTAATTGTGTTGAGCTAGCCCTTCCTTGTGACCGAGATGGGCTGGCAACGGGGATTCGGGACGGAGAAAAATAGATGGAGGGGGTTCCGGTAAGGGGACCGGTGTTTGGATTCCAGTGCTCTTGTCGGCGACGAACCCGGTCCATAAATCGGGCTGTCATTGTAGTAGATTGTGTCCGATGCTCAAGATCCGAAAACGTGAAAGGGCTTTGAAAGGTCACCCCTTTCAGGGTTCGCACACGAGATACCGCCACATATCGTAACCCAGATGCAAACTCCCGGCTGCCAATATCGAGCACTGCCCTGTCCAAGCTCACACCTTGGGACTTATGAACTGTAATGGCAAAAGCTAGTGTTATTGGGAACTGGGTTCGTGTACACTGTTTGCCCTTTATAGTAAAGTCTCGAGTGATTGGTAGGATCGGCACTAATGGCTGCTGGTCTTCATCTAGACCAAAGTCATGTGTCGGTCCACAATACTGCTTAACAGCCACCAGTAAGGCCTGTGGAGTTGTGCTTGGGACATCTTCCGGATTAATGTTCTTAGGCCAGATGATATCCTTTAGCACCCCAAATGCCCCATTGACGAGACCATTCTCCGTCCAGGTATTATCTAGTAACATCACACTACATCTAATTGCCAGAACCAACTGATTGGATAGGTTACCGGCGTCATCAGTAGAAGCATCTTTAGCTTGTTTGCTGCTATTTCGAGCACGGATGATCAGGACAGGGGCCTGTAGTGCACGAAGGGACTCGGTATTGTGGGCCTCTACTGCTAACTTGGTAGGAAGGATGTGTAGTTGCTGCTGAGACTCCTGAGCCACCTGTAGTGGTAATCGACCCACAAAATGAGTGACCAGTAAGTTAAAGTCAGTTAGGGTTGTTTTGCCTTCCCGGAGATTATCCAGCGCTAGCCGGAATGCAATACTCTCGGAATCTGTCCCTTGCTGCCGGATAATATCCTGGAGCTCGATGGTAATGGAGAATGACCGGTAAAGACGGGCTGCATGGCCTGCGATGATTTCAGCCTGTGTGTTAGGATCCCTCTTCCGTAGGTCATCAGGTGGGTTGTAGAACAGGGGCCTCTGGTTCACTGGGGGCAGCTGGAAGAAGTCACCTGCCAGAATAATGTTAAATCCTCCAAAAGGTAAGGTGGAATTACCTGGTCGTATCTCGTGACACCGGCGTTCAATCCAGTATAGTACACGGTTCCCTATCATTGACTTCTCATCGATGATAAGATACCGGACATCCTGGAAGAGCTTTTGCAGATCCCCGAGCGGCTCTGATTTTAGGGGCTGGTACTGTACCATCTTTAACGGAAGGCGGAAAAGTGTATGGAGGGTTCTACCTGTGATGTTGAAGGCGGCAACGCCAGTTGGTGCACCCCGCAGAACCGGTGACCCTCGGATACTTGCCCTGTCAGCGAGCCCTTGGAGGACACTTGAGAGGATACTGATGAGATGGGACTTTCCAGTCCCTGCTCTGCCGTCAAGGTTAATCAGCAGCTGTTCGGGAATATAGCGTAGAGTATCCCCGCAAAATGGACGTGAGAACGGAAGATCATGGTCCTCTAGCCAGCGCGCATAGTGCCCCACCACTAGCTCAAATAACAATATCTGTTTGGTGCTCAGGGATCTAGGTGAAGCATCAGATTGATTACCTAGCGTGGCAGGAAAGTTCATCTTCTGCTGCTTCCAGTAATCCAGGCCCAGGAGGATATCTGGGTACTGGCCGATGTGCTGATCCCACCGATATTCTATATCAAGATCCCGGGAGCCTAGGGCATCTCCATCCGCAAGGTAGGTAAGGGTATCATCAGCAGGGCGCTGTCGGGCTAATGCTTCCCATGATCCAGGGTTATCATCGTCGACATCCTCCTCAAGATCCTCAGCATCTTCAAACAGGTCTTCAGGAGTATCATCAACCTTCAGCTGGTCATAATGATCATCTGGGTGTGAATGTGCTTCCTGGCAGTATTCGAAGGCCGCGGAGAAGGTTGGATATGTATAATCGTCAACAGTCAGAAGATCGTCACCGGGGAAGTGTGGGTGGTGAAGCATCAACTTTACCCGGGCATAATCCTCAACCTGGTCATCCATAGCAGGGTTAGAGATAGGATGGTACATAAGCACCCGATCCTTCCTTATTGAACCGTCCTTCCGGGCACGCTGGGGGATATGGTACTTGAAGTCGAACCTTGTAAGCCACTCGAAGAAGGATGCTGTTGCAGCTGGGCTATCCCTTGGGCGGACCTGTCCGCTTCGCTCCGTTCAAGCGATAATATGCTTGTTAGCTTTAAAAAATATTTTTAATAATATATAGAGCAAATAATACTCCCCCTAGTCCATTTTAAGGCTTTTAAGGGCTAGGCACATATTAATTATTAGGTAACTGATTTCCTCCTGTTGATCAAGGAATGATCTACTACTCAGGTAGAATAATGCTGCAAATGAACCGGCCTTACCCATGGTGCATAAATCAAGACAAATATTATAATCGGTGTGAAGTACACAGTACACCGATCCTTCTTCTCCGACATACGACTGTAGGACACCATTCATGAAACAGAACCTGATTTGTATGGTTTAAAGGCCGAGTTAAAAACCTCAGCACTGCCCTAATAATCTTCATTTGACTCAGCATTATCTTCGGAGATATAAGAGTCCTCAAAGCCCTTAAAATCAGACTTATAATCGTTAAGAAGAGCTTTAAAGTATTATATTTATACTTTGGTAATTTCTTAAGAGATTTGAAGCGGACGAATACAGACTGTGTATATAGAGGTGAGTCTAGTACTTAATTAGAGGACTCGAAAAAGACGAAATAAGATCATAAATATAGGCGGAAAAGAGAGACCTATTGTTATACTATATTGGGTTACGCTGAGGGGTTGGAAAGTTTGGAAGTCCGTGGCCGGTGTGGGGATTGGAAGTACTAGCGCAATAGATATAAGTCACTTAATTTTTCGGCGGGGAATGAATTTACTAGGTCCCATAAAATATTAAGCCGTTATTACTATTGAACTTTGAATTATGAATAATAGCTTTTAATATCTTTAATTTAAAGAGAGGATTACTAGGCTTCAGTAGAGGATATATTAGAGTCCGTGACTGGGGTAGAACCAAGGGTTTGAACCCAACCCCACATTTACATGGTCCTTTGGTCCCCTACCTTTCGTGGCTCGTCTAAGCATATTGAATAACTCAGACAGGTGCGCTGGAAATGTGATCTAAGTCGGAGCATCTGCTGGCTGTTGGAAAAGGGCATCATTCAATATTGCTGATTAAGAGGTGGGTAGGTAGAAGATTAATTCAATTTGATGTGGGTTGTTTTGCGCATATGGTCGGTTAGTGGAATCGAAGACCCGCCTTGGATTTAACCATATTGATAAATTCGACTTTCTTATGGCCTATTCAAGCTCGTGTGTGGACACATTTAAGCCAAATGCTATCCAAAATAGCTTCCGAGCAACTGGACTATCTCCATATAGTCCTATTGAAGTACTTTCGAAGCTTAATATCCATCTCAAGACCCCCACCCCTCTGGTAGCGCAGGCAGAATTCTTTCACCAAAAACACCTCAGAATCTCTTACAACTACAAAGAAAAGCTCCGTCGATCAAAGCGCTTATTAAAAGACGCTCAGAAACCCCCCCAACGCCTACAGATCGTACGCTAAACCAGCTTATCAAGGGCTGCGAATTAGCTATGAACTCAGCTATATTTTTAGCACATGAAAATAGCGCTTTGCGGGCGGAGAATGAAAAAAAGAAGCAAAAACGGGCTCGAACGAATATATGAATATCTAACCAAGGTGGAATAAGTGTGGCAGAGGCCTTGCAGGCCTCACAGGATCCCCCAGAGGTAGTTGATTGATGTTGCGATCTGCCAGGTGCGCTAGGAGTTCAAATGAATCTGGCGGGCAACCCACCGAGTCGAAGAGATTTGAAGATATGATTCCGCGGTGCCATTTGTCAAAAATCAGGTCCCTGTCATGGACTAGAGCGCCAGTAACGTCAAACCATACCAGGTAGGCCAGGATATCTCCCAGTCCAGGGACTCGGGCTGCCAGAGCATCGAGATCGGCTTTGTTTTGACAATGAAGATCGAGAAGGGAACGAGCACCTTGCAAATGACGATGCCACCAGCTATACCAGCCCCGGTGGAAGTGCCCGCAGCACCTTTGCAGCAGCGTACGAGGGCTTTGCCAAGAAGTTCGGTTGTGGGATTCAGGGGCATAAAAGAACTTCATGTCCAAATAGGCCTAGATAGTCCTTTTTATTATAAATTGGTCTTTTGGTGGTCAAATTCATGTTTAAAAATTAGGATAAAAGATAGGTGCGCCACTCGCCCGTAAATTACGTTAGTTAACATCGGCATCACTAGAAGTCCGTATTGCTAGACGCAGGGCAGCGATTTTGCTTGGCGCGCATGCATGCATCAGTATGCAGTAGATGTCATCTCTTAGCTTCGAAGGTGGCGATTAACACCTTGGCTATGTCGTCATTGTGATCGATGGATGTGTGATTCCGCCCACCTTGCAATTACCGATTTATCTTCGATGAGTCATGATGCCAGCCGTTGCAACCTCCCATCTTTCCTCTTCCAGCAACTCGATGGTCAGAAATTGTCCTCCAGACTATAAGTGGCTCTTCCTGCAAGAAAAGGAGAGGCGGAAAGAGGCAGAAGCGAGGCAGAAGCAGGCAGAAGCGAGGCAGCAGCAGGCAGAAGCGAGGCAGAAGCAGGCAGACGCCAGCCAAAAGCAGGCAGAAGCTGGTCAGAAGCAGGCAGAAGCTGGTCAGAAGCAGGCAGAAGCTGGTCAGAAGCAGGCAGAAGCTGGTCAGAAGCAGGCAGAAGCTGGTCAGAAGCAGGCAGAAGCTGGTCAGAAGCAGGCAGAAGCTGGTCAGAAGCAGGCGCAGGACGAGGAGAGACAGGACAGGGAACGTACCCGACTTACGAACTTCAAAGAATTTTTGCGTCACACCCATACCTACCCTCGCGACCGCTGAAAGTTGAAACATGCTCTCACTCCACCACAGCCAGAGGAAAAGACTGTCCGATGCGGGACGCCACTGAAACGATGGGCGGATTGGCCAGCTTGACACTTCATAGCTCCATTTATGGCTACCTGCAATCAGCAGAGGACGCACTGCGAGAATTGGAGAATCTGACCCGTCGCGTTGATCTGGGGGATTGAGCTTTTGAGTTTCGAAACCAACTTGGAGACTAAACTGGAAAACTTGAAACGAGGTGAAGGCGTTTTTTGTTCCTGTCAAGGAACTGTAGCTGCGCAGAAACTCCAGTGACTATTTTTCACCAGACTACCAAGGGGTGCTAGCATGGAGCACAATAAAACTGCCATCCGATTGTCAACAAATATTTGAATCATTACTGCCATGATAATTGTTCAAGTACTCTCATCTATGTGAGAGTTTTGTAGAGGTGTCTACTCTGACAACTTTCGTATCAAAGCTTCCGACTCGGCTGCATACCTGATTTTTTCCGGATACAGTACTCGGATCGTGGTTGGAGATCAGAAATCAAAAGGGAACATACGCTAACGCTAGGAAATCTGGTACGCTAGATTCCCAATGAACTCCGAGGCTGTCGTACATGGTGATGGCGATTAATGGAAAGGCTAGACTGATAAAAGATTGAAGGATTGAATTGGCTGCCAGCACAGAAGCTTCAGATCTTGTAGGAATCAAACAGATGATTGGTACTGACAGGTATAGAATGAACATTCCAACCCGAAAGGGACCCATGGCAATAATACCGACAATCCAATCAATACATTGAAAATTTGACCAGTGAAACGCAAAAAGACTGATACGGTACAAGCCTCGCCTCCAGTAGTGCGAATTTATTAAATATCTCTAATCTTTGGTATTATTTACTATTAAAAATGGTGAATCTGAGGTCACAGAATTTCCCAACTAAGACTCCAGTAGTTCCAGACCGGTAATTCCCTGATCACATTGACCCTGATCTTTATACATGATGTTCCGTAAATGATGGCGTTATAGATGAACAACAGCAGCAAGATCGGCTCACACAGCAGCAAAATGAATGATCGACACAAGGCGGGTTTTGCACTTGTTCTACCATTTGAAGCTGAAACTCACTTCTGTATACTGTGCCGGAGAATTCCGAAAGATGTTTGACACTCTGTTGAGGAATAGGGATATATATTAGTAGAAAGCAAAAGATAAAGATGACACCAGAGACGGCATTTAGGAGGCCCCTGACCCATCTACAGCTGGCATTCATTCCCACTAAACAAAAATCAGTTCCAACAGCTAAGACTCGAGATATCGCGGTAGAAGTCGATATAATTAGAGAAACCACCGATAACTGGACCAAGCACGCGATCACAGAATGCCGCATTCGGCAAACAAACTTATTGCAGGCTTCTCTCTGTCGCTGAGCACATATGCGAAATAACGCTGCCTTTATGTTAGTGAGCTTTAAAAATTACAACGAGTAAAGTCTCCGAGGGATAAATTTACCGGTGTTTGTAGGTAGCGATGATCCAAAAGAGGCAGCGAGGAATCGAAGGATGATTGTTGTGCTATGAGGCTGGTGCAGATCAGGAACCAAGCCGGACCATCGGAATTAATTCCCGCATTATCCAGTTGAAGTGACGTCATCACTAATCATCTGCTGATGTGTTCAGTCCAAAGATCGTACCTGACGCCCACTTCATAATCATCTGTTGGATTTACCAAACCTTTCAAGCCCTTCAAATGGCAAGAAACATCCATAGCAGTAGCACTTACACCGCTAAATCAATGAATTTTCTAATAGCTGACAGAGAGTGTAATCTCTAGGGAGCATATCTCAAGTATGGAGCTACTGTATGCTACCATGAATAATGAAATGATGTATTAGTAACAGTTACCACTAATTTGTACGTTAGTAGGTTATCATATAAAGGTTTTGTCGTCTTTATGAAATTTTGAGATATACGTTTTAAGTATCTCGTCCTTAGTTATATAAGGGCTTACTTTTGATTAGGAGATAATCTGAGTAGAATAAGCTTGGATACAAACAAAAGAACCTCTTAATCTTATTATAGTAAGAAGAAAGTATATTGAATTTACTTAGCAGCTACTACGTATCTTTCAAACAACCTTTGGGACTATTATAATTAGACTAGGCAACGCATTGATAGTCACGTGCTAATAATTTCACACTGCTTAGCGCACTTCACCCAAAGCGGTATTGTATTTAGCCTTGCTGCCGACTCGACTGATCTTGCCAGAAATTTGATGCTATAGTGTAGATGCCAAGAGGTCGAAGGTCCTGAGCGGACAAAGGCGACTTGATAGTTTTGTATTTGAATTGAGAGGCTCAGTGCGTTAATCACGAGTCGCGCGATCACCATTCGGTTTGTACATAGTACTCGAAACTGTACTGTAGAAGAAAATGCGCAACATGTCTACAGCTTCGTCACTATTGCTCACTGAACTTTTCGAATTTTTAATCCCTGGATTGAATACTTAGCAAAGTAAATAAAGTTGCGTTCAAGGAAATACTGATAAGAACTACTATTGTTTGGACAGCAAGTTGTAATTCGTCAAAACTACTACAGTGACTGGGCCGCCAGCCTGTTGATTTGCTTCTTAACTAGTTATGTGCTTTGACTGAGAAGGAGTTTGAACCAGATTGACATTATGGGAAAATATCTAGTGAAATCCACTTATAATAATTTACCGTCACGTTGGCAATGACTATTCGCAGTTTTGAAACTACGTTTACGAGTGCAATTCTCAACTGCGAAATATATCTAGGCAACTTGTGATTAATTTTCGGACCACTATCAACGAATAAAAGCCGACTCAAAAGATAGTAACATCCAACGCAACAAATATGCTATCATTTTATAAAGGAAAGGGGCGAAGCAGCTTGATTACTGGATCATCTTCGAGCAGTTGAACAGTTCATGTAGGTGAAGTTGACGGACCGGGATTCCTTTGATGTCTTTCAGTAAGGTAGTGGATTGCCTCTTGATCCGTCTCATGACTTTGAGTCTCCCGTATCAACCAAGATATCTCATCAGAGGTCCCCGAGCGAAGCGTGGTAATTATGCAGGAAAGAGCGGCCTGAAAACCCAATAGCTCAGCGATATAAGCCTTAGATCTACGATCACCGCGTGGATTATAGATGCAGTCGCATTCTTCAGCAATGCATCTTGAGCAGGGCATCGTACCGGAGCACTGTATTGGATGTATTAGCAGTGCCGCCAAACTTTGTTCTGAGACTTCTGACCTTGGCTCTCTTTTTCTGGCATTCCGTACAGGCAAGAGAGACCTTGCATCGCTATTTGACTGACGATTCTGACTCAGGAGATTGTATATTGAGTCCCCTGTTCGCAGGCAGGAGTTTGCGCAGAGTTCTGTTCTTTGGCATTGGGATGGTAGATGCGGCTTCGCGAAGTCCTGAGGGAAAGAAGATTTCACCTACTGAAGAGAGAGAGAAAGAATCCTAGCAATATTATTAAGAACTTCAGAAACTCAGGGGCAATTTCAAGTTTTATTTTTGAATTTTCAACCATATCCACAGTTCTTTGTTTGCTACAGATGAAATAATCCATAGCAAACAAAGAAACCAGCAAACAAAGAAACCGGCAAGATGACCCCACTTTCGGCTTTAAACACAATTTCTGATTGGAAGAGAGTGTTACCGCCTCCTTCAAAATTGCTTGTTTTTTTGGGATTATGCTGGTTTGTTCAGATATCAATCATATTCAGGCGCGCTTTAAAAGAGACCCATGAACAAATATTTGCACAGGGAATAGGCACCAGTAAGGAGTGTGCTAGGACAAGGCTGACAGATCTTGACAAGGAGGTCGATCTGGAGCGGGAACCCGTCGAAGGTCCCCCCTCCACCCCCCCAAGCACATTGTCCAGATCAAGCCTTCACGCTTAAAAATTTTGGCTCCATTCATTTTTCGCAGGCAGGATCTTGCGCAAGGTACTATTCTTCGGCATCACAGCACGAGATAGAGAATAATAAACACTTAGTGAAGCCTCTTAGGGGTGAAGGATTTGAGTTCAGGAAATGGAGCATCTAGGAATGCTCCTAGACCATCCCGTCCATGCTTACAGTTTAGCAAACAAAGAACCCAGCCGAGAGAGGACCCACCTTCGGGTAATACTCCACGATCCGATTAGCAGATCATCCATCGAAAATTAGTGTTAGCTCTTATTGGCTGGATTATTACATTATCTCATTTCAATTACTAATATATCATGTGGAGCGAGTTCAATTAGAATTCGGGAGAATTTTGGCTGGTTTGACCCGCTTTATGTACATTCATTTTGCGGAGAAAGAGAAAGAGGAGACAGACACAAACAGAGATTCTTTCATTTTAAAGCATTCAAAGAAAGAAAATATAAGGTTTCTACTATTGACCAAAGATATCCGGAATCGCCATCATTATTTCTTTTAACCTAGCATCCCTAGAAGGCCTGGCGAACCCTTGGGATGCTCTAATATCTCTTTCGCGTCCACAACCTCCAGGTGGAAAGGCTCGGGATGATTCATATCCTCATAAATCAAATGGCGAACAATTTTATCTGCAGCGGTGCTAAATTGACGAAGTATATCACCCTGGGACTCGTCTAGTATGTCGAGAAAGAGCTTAAAGTCGGGTTCAGTCGGGGCGAGAATCCTTGATACCCTTAGCAACTCTGCCAAATGCAACTGAAACAAGTGATCTCACTTACATAGCATCGGATATTGGCTTTTCAGAATCTTCGGAGACTTTGCACGGTTGCATGAAAGCCAGGCTACTGTTGCCAAACCTTTCTGCGAACATTTGAAGTCGTCGCCCAAGGACTCGAAGACGAGACATGGATCGTCTTTTTGAATCATAATCTTTAGATCCGGGTTGAAAGGTTGGAAATACTTCTTTCATCATCCTGTCAGTCACATAGGCCTCATCATTATGGCCAGGATTGCCTGTCCTGCCACCAGCTTGAAAGATCTCCCTTCCGGTGCAAATGATCATTTTTGTTGTTCTGCGGCTGTTAGAGCCACCGCAATTTCTAAACAACTCCATCACATAGTACCTCTTCAAAAGAGCGCAGTACATTTCTCGAACCTCAAGGTCTCCAATTATAGCTATTCTTTCGTTTTGTGTCGCATGGCCTGTGATTCTCCAACTTTGAATCTGAGGCCACGATCTTGAGCACTCCAATGCTTCTTTTAGGCCGACAACAGAGCTAGAGCCGGCTATCTGAGCTAACATAGTGCAAGAAGCGTCCGAAAACTTGCAATTTAGCTCTAGCACACGATTCTGAATGTAAGGACTGAAGAATGTTTCTCGTGGAGGGGGCAGCCCCTGAGCTTTACACTTCTCGGTATCCCTCAAGATCGATGCCCGACAATAGTCACTGATCTCTTGTCGTTTGTTGTTCGGTTGCTCAACAGACTCCATTGTCTCAACTTTTCTCTTAGCTTGATTATATGAGACATTTCCATTTTCATGTTCCGTGGGACTGTCTAAACCCTCTTCTATGGGGGTCTGAGCTGCACATATCGAGTGACTCCTGCTTAGGGTTGGAGGAGATGCCAGGAATGGAAGCTCAGACGGCCCAAGAGTGTTCAAAAACGATTCATCAAATTCAATCATTCCAGGCGATAGGCCGTGTGTGCTTGGTTGGAACAAAAGGAATGACCTGAATTGGCTCAATAAGTCGCTGTGATCGACATTATATTCTCCTATGCTCAAGAATCTAGAAAGTCAGCCGTTTTTTCTCAATCCAGTGGAATATAACTAAAATACCCCAGGCACAGCATTCCTTCTCGAGTGACATCTGAGTCCCTGGCTTCAAGGTGTAGAACACCTATAAGAGCACTTACAGCTTGAGCAAGAACGCTCTTTGCTTGGCTTCCTGCCGTGGGACTGTAACTGATGTATCGGTCAATGCCATGGTGCTTGGCTACTAGTACTCGGTAATCCGCTGTTGCCAGAGTGGATTGAATACGGGTTATTTTGCCTTTTCAACATTAATGGCTTATCCTTCAAGTTTGATGGGACAATTACCTCTGCTCATCTTTGTTCTGTATCCCATCTCGATAATTTGATATTCTATGAGAGAGGTCCCCATTTGGGCAAGTCTCTTGTTTCCATCAAAGTTGTTTTTGTCGGCTCCAGCAGCCGTCAGAGCTTCTAAGATTCCAGACTCCGATAGTCTGTGATACCCAAGAATATCTTTAATTTTTTGAAATTCGGGCTGGGCGAGCATTTTGACAAATCAAAGATAAAGTACTGTCGAAGAGGAAATGATCTGTGAATAATAATTCCGAGGGATGAAGGGTCTAAAATATATCGGAAGCCGTAAGTTCGAAGTGCTTAGAATACTGGAGCTCAGATACGGAGTGGCAGGGTAAACGAATGCTAATTGGTCGTGTGTATGCACCAGACACGTTACTGGCCTTCATTGATCAAAGTAACGGCGGTGAGGAGAGCACACATATGACCCGTCACAGTAACCTACAGTTTTTGTTGCAAGATCAGCAGCCCCCCAGGCCCGCGTCTCCTTGGCTGGTTGTTTGTAGCGCTACAAACAGAGCTAGTCTCCTTAATTTCGCCGAATTAGGGATTATCAACTACCTGGTGCCGTAATATCCAAATCAGGAAAAAATGTTTGTCAGGCCGCTATTCTTGGAAATCTCTTGTCGGCTCACCCCTTGACTGCGTAATCGGCACGGGACTCCCTGGCTGGAATCCCAGTATTTTACATCACTTGCATACCTGCTGATCTTAATCGTGACAAGCCCTCAACTACAAGGTCGAAGAAATAAGTCAGCAAGCATGCTGACAGCCTTATAAAAGCTATGGGAATGCCCACTTACATCTGTGAATGAGAGTTTCTCAAATGTTCACAGTTATTCCGATAATGTCTGAAGGCTCTGTGTGCAAACCTTGTCCAGATGGTACGTGTTCTTACTTCCCTCAATCTTAGAAGCATTGCCTAACTCTTTACTCAAGAACGTGAATTTTTATATCACCTTAGTCTCTTGAAGCTTGGAAGCTACACGTAGCAATTTGAAGAGGCTTCGCTCGCGCCGGTATTTACGAGCCATGTCTTCAGTCATTGCCGCGATCAATCTGTGTCAAAACACACTGGAAAGGTTTCACAGTATGGGCTTTTGGGTGGAATCACCAAGGCAAACGGCTTGGACTCCAAGGCCCTCGAAGATAGAGAAACTTGGGACAAGGACCCGAGACTGTTTTTTAACGTTTCCTCTCCCTCCAGTACTTTTATATGTGGCTCTCAAGGCTTAGGGAAAAGTCATACCTTGTCATGTATTCTGGAAGGTTCCCTAATTCCATCAAAAGCTGGGAGGCTTTCAAACCCTCTTACAGCTGTTGTCTTTCACTATGACACCTTTATCTGTGATAATGGAGGTTCTCCTTGTGAAGCCGCCTTTCTTGCTTCTAACTCCGATATCAAAGTCAGAGTCCTATGTGCTCCGACAAATCTTCGAACTATATAGGTAATTCCTTGTGCTTCAATACTATCTCAGCATTTTGCTTATTTCATCAGGGAACATACTCAAGATTCAATATTAAAGTTGAAGCCTTGCAGATTGACCAAGCCGATCTTAACACCCAACGTATGCTTGATCTGATGGCTGTTGGTCAGGACAACGGCCCACTTCCATTGTACATGCATACTGTTCAGCGAATACTCCGAGAAATGCGAGTTGAGTAGCAATGCCTTGGAACGGGTTTTAATTATGCTGAGTTCAAGAAAAAAGTACTTGATTCTGGACTCACTCCAAGTTAACTTGAGCCATTGAGGCAACGCCTCGATAGTTTAGAGAGCTTTATGCCTAAGCAGCAAGCACTCCAAAGACCTGGAAAAGACATGAGAGCCAAAAAGTGGGGCTCTGATTGGATGCCACACGTATGTCACTCCTGCGGTATACTTACATTAACATGATTGACTAAGAGTACCAGCTGAGTCAATTGACTATAGTTGACCTTTCCTGTCTATGCATTTCTTCGGATACGGCCTGCTCCCTTTTTAACATATGCTTAGGAATTTTTCTAGAGCAAACTACAGATGTCGGTTGTATAGTGGCGCTTGATGAGGCTCATAAAGTTAGTCTCGTTACAAAGTCACCGTAAAGGCATGCTAACCTTTAGTAGTATATGGATAATTCTGTCGAAGCACGCTCTTTTACTGAGACTCTTCTGTCTACCGTGAGGCTGTAGCGACATCTTGGAATACGTATTGTGATTTCAACACAAGAGCCGACGATATCAAAATCTCTTCTTGGCCTCTGCTCTGTCACTATCGTTCACCGATTTTCATCTCCGGATTGGCTTCATGCTTTGAAAAGAAACATAGCGGGTGTCTCCATAGGTGAAGAGATCTCGAGAGAATTCAGTGAACGCAAAGGGAGGCAAGGTATGTATGAGATGTCATTGTTTGAAAGAATAGTTCGTCTTGGAGTGGGCGAGGCTTTGCTTTTCTCCCCCAGTGCTATGATTGGAAGCCATACCGGGAGTGACAGTGATTTTGTGGTCCAAAAATTGGGACCTGGTTATCTGGAAGTGAAGATCCGAAGTAGACTTACTGAAGATGGCGGAAGAAGTATTATGTCTTCTTGAGAGATGATATGCAGTTACTTGGATGACTTGAATGGGTGTGACAGTGGTTGGTGATTCTTGAGCTCAGATTGAACGGTATCTATTTTTTGGAATAAGTATATGGAAGTTGTGCGGATAAATTTTATTGAGGTCACAACAAGATAATACATATCACTATTCATCCAGCGCCCGAATCATGTAATCGACGGCCTCTTGATCTGTCCGCCAGCTTTGGACCTCCCAGATAAACCATAATACCTTCTCAGGTGTTCCAGAGCGGAGTCTGGCTGCGATTCGGGAGAGAGCAAGATAGGGTTCCAGCAGTTCAGCGGTATAAGCTTTGTGTGTACGATCACGATTTGGAGCGAAGATACATAGGTATTGTTCTTTCGCGTATCTACTGGATAGGGCCATACCAGAGCACTATGCTGGGTCAAATCTCTGTCGGATGAATGGTTTATCCAGTCCGCACTGATTTAGCAGGACTTCTGGGACCTAAACTAGTTTAAACCCGGTTTTACCGCTTCCCCAATCTGGTCGCAACAGGGGGCCCAAGCCGTGGAAATCTGTCGCCCAGATAGATTTGGTACATAGGATCCTCGCATTCATACATATTAAATCAACCGATATATTTGATCACTTTGTTATGTGATCCGTACTCTCACTCCATCTCTTATAGATAGCTTATTCTCTTCCTTCTCTTCTTCTTTCTTTCCTTCCTTACAGCACACAATACTATTACATTACATTCTCACCCTCCTTCCTTCATAGACTCAATTCCTCGTGTCTCTTCATAATAAACCTCCTAAATTATAATTCTAGCATCCCCAAAAACTCTACAATCCCATACAGAAGATCACCAACTTACAACACCAAACACCCCAGTAGTCTACTACTATAGATAGCCCTAGTTCCCTAAGCAAGCAATAACCATTCCCAGACAGATTCAGATCCCTAATAGAATTCATCCAACTTATGATAACAAACACCCCGGCAGTCTACCACCCACAAATAGCCCTAGTTCCCTAGATAAGTAATCAATATCCCTAACAAGATCCGGACTTTTTACCTATACTATTTATATAATAACCCTACACTAGGGTTACCAATCTAGTTTATTTTAGTTCATCATTCGGTTTTCAGATATAGTTTCGCGATTTTCTTTTTTTTTTCATATAGGGTAACTTCATTTTCATCAGATTTCATTAGAA